TATTTTGGTCTAGCCACTCTTTGGCTTCTCTTAAACCACCATTACCTGGAATGAATTAGTTCATTGATATATATGGTGCTTGCGCGACGCATATCCAAGGCAGGTTAGTCGATGAAGGTGTGAAAACTCGTCGACTGACTTTCTTTCCTTGCCTACTACCTTCAGACAAATCTTAACATTACGCTCGATCATTTCTAAGAAGACACTTGTGGTTACTACACAGCAGCTTCTTTGTATCTTTTATTATCAACGGCCCTGTTTTATATCTGTACAACAGGACAGATCAGACAGCAAAGTCGCATAGTCATCCTTCGATATGTATTCTGATGTGTGGTCGCTATAAATGAAATGATTTGACAATTACTAAACTGGCCCCTTTCATAAACCTGATATTCTGTCAACAAACAAACCATTTGGAGTGATGTGACTACCCAAGCAAGTGAACTGGTCAACGCATTTCACAGTTTTACTAGCCACTGCTGAGCAAACTGAAACACTGTATTGTATTTAATAGTTGCGATATGTATGCCAGGTATAAGCATATTTTGGTCAAGAGTTTTCGCAGGAGTGTATTTTGTCAGCATCTTCGACTACATGATCATATATTTAAATTACTTTGGGCCAGCGGGATTCTTTTCCAGAAGTACCTCAATCCTTGAGAAGTAGGAGCGTATCTACAAGAAATCAAAATATCAGTGGTAACATTGGACATATTTGATGGACACTTGTGTAAGCCCTTGCGCAGCTCCGTGACTTCAAGCAGGCAGCGCTGAGAAACACTATCTAACTAGTCGGGACTCGTTTAGCAGTCACATACTTTCGCAATACTTCTTGGATGACAGAATCAAATGCCTTCTTCATTTCAAGAGATATTCCAAAATGTCAGGCTGTGGTAAGTACACCACTATTCTGAAACCTGTCAAGGAGCAAACGCTTGTTACATGCACCCTCGTGTACGTCACAGACCTGCTTGTTTTTCTAGAGTTTGTATATGTGCAGCCTTAGTTGGGCGTTGGATTACCACGGACCCAAGGATCTTGGATATTAGATAAGTCAAAGAAACTTCCCATTGGTTGTCCCAAGTGAACCATTTCTTTACCGATAAACCAAAATAACCAGAGACTTAGATCGTTTTCATGGGGCAGTCACTCATTCTACCTGTGTAACTTCTTTGCTTAAGTTGCCACCGCCGCTCTTAGGAACTTTTGGCAGCAGACCATCGGATCTTGCTACTTGACGTTTTAGGCTGTGAAAAGACCTCTTGACTACAATTATGTCCGAAAGACTAACATCTATATCTCATTCTGCACCAGACTTCAAATTGGGTAAGTAAAATCCAACTGAAGGCCAACTGAACCGCTGTCCAAAGTATTCTGCACAAATTTCTCTTCAAGTACCATCAAGGAATCGTTCTTCTGTGAGATTGGGTCACTGACCATCGTATTTTTCGCGCCAGTTTCAACAAACCGAAATAACTACTATCATAACTTAACGTTGATGGCTTTTCTATCTCTTTTGCCAATGAAAACCTATCACTGATGTTAGTCAGTACGAAGGCACTTCATCCATATCCACATATGTTGCTTTTGTTCCTCATGAGGGTCGGATCTGACCACAATGAAGCTGCTTCAAAATTTGATGTCCTTGATCAAGCTATTTAAGAATAAATAGAACGAAGATGACTTAATCTACCACATCAAATGATGATTCAAGTAGAGTAAAACCGAACCTGCTGGACAACAACTACACTCATGACGTATGAATCAGAGTTGCCTATGACAGGCATGGGAGGTAAACAATTTTCAGTTTGTCTGAGAAACAGTGGTCACGACATTCTATAACTTGCAACAAAATTTAGTGAAAACCCTCAAATTCTTACAGTCTCACAAGAATTGATCAAGGTGGCAAGACTCATTGCGGTCAGATCCGACCCTCATGAGGAACAAAAGCAACATATGTGGATATGCATGAAGTGTCTTCGTACTGACTAACAACAGTGGTAGTTTGTAATGGCAAAAGAGATATTCTAAGAACACTGGAAGTCTTTGAAAGAGATGTGGAAAGAAACCTGCACAGCCGTCTTAGGAAGGAAGAAGAAAGAAGGTAAGGAATGGATCTCGATGGACACATGGAAGCTGATAGAGCAGGGAATGGAGGATGATGAAGCAGAAGATAAACCAGTGCAAGGATGCACAACGACAAGAGGAACTGAGTACAATGTATAAAACACTAGACAAAGAGGTGATGAAGAGTGCACGCAAAGACAAGACACTTCTACGAAACACTGGCAAGTGAAGCAGAACAGGCTGCAGGTAAGAGAGACCTGAAAACATTTCATCGAATAACCAGGTTGCTATCTGGAAAGAGATCAACGCGGACGAAACCAATAAGAGATGATCAAGGAAATATAATTACGAAAGAAGAGAAACAAAGGAAACAATGTGTAAACCACTTCGAGAAGCTCTTGAATCGACCACCACCTGCACTTCGTCCAGAAATACCACCTACAGCCGCTGAACTACAAGTAAACATAAATCCTCCAACAAAAGTGGAAGTCCTGAACGCCATAAAGCTACTGAAATGCCTCCTTCACCTATCTAGGAAGCACTGTTTCAACTACAGATGGCGCAGGCACAGACGAGGATGTCAAAGTTAGGATCGGGAAAGCAAGACAGGCGTTCATTAGCCTGAAACTAGTGTGGAGATCTTCTGCACTCAGCATGCGGAACAAGATACGGATTTTCAACACCAACGTCAAGTCAGTGCTTCTGTATGGTTCAGAGACTTGGCGCGTTACGAAAAGCATTTCCAACAAACTACACACACTACACATTCATCAACAACTGCCACCTATGCTGACTCGTTACTGAAGATGAGATGGTATGGCCAGAAAGAATGAGCAACAAGGAACTGTGGCTGGCTGGCTGTCAACGAACCAACCAAGAAGCTATCTCTCAACAAAAATGCACTGGAAGGAAGTGGAGATGAATTGGGCATACACTGAGAAGGTCGACTGGGGACATCACGCGTCAGGCACTCGAGTGGAACCCCCATGGGAAGCGACGAGTTTGGCATCCGAGGCGAGGGTGACATGGGAGAGATTGTGCGAGGAGGAAATGAGAGCTTGTGGGCTGTCATGGATCCAGGTTCATAACATTTCAGAGAACAGAGTGGAATGGAGACGTCTTACTGAAGCCCTATATACCATTAGGAACCCAAGAGACTAATAATAATAATTTTTAAATGTTCTAAATAAAAACTGTCAGTGTTCAGTTTATGGCTACTTACAAGAAGACACCACATGCCAAGTAATTCATAGTGGGAAGCTCACTGACGCCTTTGAATTGAAGATAGGAGTAAGAAAAGGCTGTCCACTATCACCCATGATATTCCTGATTGTGGTCGACTGGATGATGTTGCAAACAGTGAGAAGCAAGAAGAGGGACATATACTGGACTGGGGAAAGGATCCTAGAAGATATGAATTTCGCCAATAACGATGACTTGTGTCTAATGTCACACAAATTCGAGATCTGCAGGTGGAAACTGACAACTTGTCAGAAGAGGCAGCGAAAACGGGACTTCAGGTGAACATAGAGAAGACAGAGTTGATAAAGATACCCAAGCAACACCTACAACAACAACAACAAGCTGCAATCAGCATAAACTGGAGAAACTTAAAGGAAGTAGTGTCCTTCACCTATTTAGGCAGCGTCGTTCCAACTACAGGAGGTACAGGCACAGACAAGGATGTCAAGGAAGTCAGGATAGGAAAGACAGAAAGACAGGCGTTCATTAATCTGAAACAACTGTGAAGATCTTCTGCACTACACTCAGCATAAAACGTCAACAACATCTGCATTCTCAACACCAATACAGTCAAGTAAGTCAGTGCTTCTGTATGGCTCAGGGACTTGGTGTGTTACGAAGAGCATTTCCAACAAACTACACACACTACACATTCATCAACAATTGCCACCTACTCTGACTCGTTACTGAAGATGAGATGGGATGGCCAGAAAGAATGAGGAACAAGGAACTCTCGCTGGCTGGCTGGTTGTCAACGAACCAAGTAATAACGTATCGGTGAGGAAATATGCACTGGAAGGAAGTGGAGATGAATTGGGCATACACTGAGAAGGCCGACTGGGGACATGAGGTGCGAGGCCAGATCGTCGAGTGAAATCCAGATGAGAAACGACTAGTTAGGCGTCTGAGGCGAGGGTGACATGGCGTAGATGGTATGAGGAAGAAATGAGAGCATCTGAGCAGTGGTGGATTCAGGTTGAAAAGATAGCAGAGAACAGAGCGCATTGGAGACGTGCTACTGAATCCCTGTGTTCCACTAGGAACCCAAGGGACAAATAATAACAATGATAACAACGGAGAATTTAAAGTAAATCAACAAATAGTTATAATGAGCTATTATTGTTATATGTCTACAATTTGTGCTCCACATTTTCCCAGACCAAATCAATGTTGCTTATACGCAAGATTCCATTACTAGTGAATAATCAAGATACTCAGCACAGATCCTGCTGCCAAGACTAAATTAACGAGTGCGGAGTTTCAATATTTAATGTCAACATTAGATTTCTGGCTTGATATCATACCTTATACATTCGATATATGTGTACTTCAAAAGATTATAATCAAATCTTACTACCATTATTATTATTTGTTTTACCAAGTAATAACACGTGATATATGCGCAGTCAGACAGAGTTCAATGGAAATAAAAGACAATAGAACAGTTAGGATTGAAACAAACAAAAAACGAGTGGATTTTACTAATGCTTCGTATTCATTGTTTTATAGTATATATGAGACTCGTGAAAATAGAGAAAAATAAAGACAAAAGTACATTGTACTTAGAAGAAAAATTAAATAAAAGCTCTTGAATCTATAAAATATTTTCTGATAACATTTAGAAAAAACTTAAAAATCTTCATCAACTTGGTCTAAGACTATATCCTTAATTGAACACTGATCATTGGCGAAATGGAAGTAATTGAGTAAGTGATTGAAAATGTTCCATAATTTCCTCTGTAGAAATAATTATGATGTTAGGTAAAGTTATTTGTTAAATATGTGCACAAATAATAGATGAGTAATGAATTATGCCGATAGCGTTTAAAACTTAGTCGATGAAAATGTATTTCCCTATTTCCTAGGGGAGTATTGAGCAATTCAACCCATTATAGGTCTCAATCAATATCTGATACCAGTTATACAAGAGATCATTTTCCTGGCCTAGTGGATAACCCATTGACGTTTGAAGTAACAGGCACTAGTTTCGAGTCCTAGGGGGGGAAGAATATCATGCACTCACAGCTGATGAATCCTAAAACGGACGAAATGTGCATTCTGGATTTCACTGATAGTCACTAGTCAGATTCCTTATATCCCTGTTATAAAGAAAGTGTTAAAAGTTGAATAAGAACGTTGTTAATTGTAATAAGGTGAGATTTTATTCGTATACTTGTCAGAGAACTTGACTTTAGACACACACAAAAAAAACACAGTTGACCCCAAAGCCTACAGTTTCCTCGGTCCCGAAGAAAAGCATATTTCTTAAAGTACCATGCAGAGGGGAAACAAGTAGTATGATATTGAAGCAGAGATTAAAATCTGTTATCAGTAAAACATACTATGCAGCTCAGCTTATCATTGTTGAGAAGACAAAACACCTGCTTCACCACAAACCTCAATCTCGCACAAATGATTACATCACATCCTACTGCGTTTACCAATTTACATGTATGTGTGGACACACATACATAGGGAGGAGTAATCGTTCAATGCAGACTAGGGTATGTGAACACATCCCCAAATGGCTAGAAAAACAGTTTAACACACAAACTTTGATAAGTGCAGGTGACAGACATCCATCGTCATCTATAGCAAAACATATTATTGAAATGAATCACAGAGTTAATACGAAAACAGCGTTTATGATAATATAGAGGAATAATCAGGGGCACATACTGAAGTTTGCCGAAGCGTTAGCCATTCGTAAACTTAATCCCCCACTGTGTGTACAAAAACAATTTATGGTTTCACTTAATTTACCTTGGTAATCCTTATCTGATTATATATTACCAAGACTAGTGTCACAACCTTTTCATATTCACTATAATTGACCTTTAATTTTCATATATAAATTGACTTGACAAGTAAATGTGTGAGGGATCAGATTGTTCGAAATGTATTGCGCAAATACATCACACAGTTTGTTCAGATAATCTTCGTCTTCTAATAGCGTTATCGAAATTTATTAAAGGAACTAATTGTTACAAATATAGTTCGACAATTCTAAGATTATTCTGATTAACATATAAGGACATTGTACTCAAATGAATAACCATCACTAAGGTGCTTATACAATTTATTTACCTGCTTGCTTTATCTGTTTTTGTTTTCCGTGGTAATGTAACACTTTTGTGGATCATTGTATTGTTATATATTTTCAAAAGAGAGAACTAATTGCCATTTACTTCATACTTGATTTAAGAAGTGTGCAAGCATATTTGTTGACATAGTAACCAATTCCATAGTTCCCATAACATTTCGATTGATTACAAAAATCATGAGATCAAGTATAATGAACTAATGGGGATGAGAAAATAAATCTGTACCAGGGGAGGAAACAAATAATTAATAACCTTCAACATAATAAAATTACCTAACACTTTCCTAAATTTCATTTGATTTACTGACATTATATAAGTAGTATATTCGCAGTTCTATCATGAAGCTATAAAATGGCACATGATACATTCTTTCAAAGAAGAATTTCATAGATATAGTCTTTTTATCTAATCAAGACATTAGGAAGCACAGTGTCAAAGTTCACCATGACTTTGAGCCTTCTTCTTTGCTGGTTATTTTTGCAAAATAATTGATAGAATTCGGTTAGCAACCAGGACTAGACAATCCCAAATTGGTTACTTTCCAGTGACCAATCAGTATATCTACTCCAGTCTTTCAAGAAGTGGATTGGATCTTAATTAACTCAATGGTATCACTGGGTTACGCATAGAATGGTAGTCAACTCAAATTAACCTCAACTTCATCGACTTTGAAAAGGCATTCAAAAGCGTCTACCAGGAAGTAATTTAGCAGGCGACTGCTTCAAAACTATGATTTTAGTGTCGCAAACATTCATTAACCTCATTCAGCGACTATACGACGACGCCACATACCAAGTGATTGACAGCGGAAATATCACTGACGCCTTTGAAGTGAATACAGGATTAGAACAAGATGGGGTTACCTACTGGCATGAATGATCTCCCTGATTATGGTCGACTGGATTATGCAACAAACTAAGAGGAGCGAGAAGAGAGGCATACGCTGGCTGGACCGATGAAAAGATCCTGGAAGATTTGGGGTTCGCCGGTGATAATGATTTATGTCTAATGTCTTGATGCACTAACTCGAAGATCTACAGGCGAAAATCAACAAGTTGACAAAAGGGGCAAACCAGCTAAGATGGACCTCAAGTGAATGTAGAGAAGACGGAGGTGATGAAGATATCCAGCCAACAACAACTAAAACAACAGCAACAAGTACCAATCACTATCAACGGGAGAAATCTAAACAAAGTCAGTCAAGTCAGTACTTCTATGTGATGGTTGAGACAGTTGCCGTGTTACGAAAAGCAATTCCAGCAAGTTGCAGACATACATGAATAACTACCATCTACGCTCACTCGATACTGGAGATCTGTGAGATGGATGGCCAGAATAATGGGAATAAGTAACAGGGAATTCTGTCTGGCTGGCTAGCTGGTAACCAACCAACCAAGAACCCACTGCCCAAAAATGTACAGAAGAAAGTGGAGATGGATTGGGTATATACTGAGAGGACCATTTGTAGATATCATGCGTTAGGCCAGGCCATCGAGTTGAAGCCAAATGGGAAACGACGAGTTAAGCGTCTGAGGGGGGGGGCGACATGAAGAAGATTGTGTGAGGAAGAAATGGAGGCTTCTCGGTAATCATGGAGCCAGGTTGAAAAGAATGTAGAGAAGAGAGTGAAGTGGCGACGTGCTACTGAAGCCCTATGTTCCATTAGGTACCGAAGGGATATATAATATAATAATAATCACTGGGTGATATAGGTCCTACTTGCCAAGGAAATGCAAGTTCCTTGGCGGTTGCAGACAGGTCTTAATGACGTCTGCCAGCACAGATAAAACCTAGGTTCAAGGCTTTCTAATGACTACTTTCAACCAAATTAACATTAATATTACAGTTACTTATGTTATGTTACAAATCAAGGTAGTCTAGTAGACTGAAACACCATTCAACATGGAAATAAATTTGTTCATTGACTTTGAAATATTGCATATGCATATAATAAGAGTACTTTTAAATGAAATGAAAGTCTTAAAATATAACAGAAAGAAGTCCCTGAAACACTGAGAAATGAGTAGTTCTGGAATACTGGCTACTTCAATTCTAAACCGACTGAATGAAGTCCAGAACAGCATATCTTTGACATGTATAAGAGAGGAAGATGACTGCCTGCCGTTCCTAGATATATTAATTAGTCGAAGGCAGGATGGATCCATAAAACGACCTATCTACAGAAAACATAGATGGACAGGGCAATATCTGAATTACCATAGCTTTTGCCCAGTTCAGTACAAGCGAACGTTAGTAAGGTGCCTATTCAGCAGAATTCAACGAATATGCACCGAGGATACTTTAGACGATGAAAGAGGAACACTGACCGATATTTTGTTGGAAAATAACTATCCATCAACATTTATCAGGCAGAACAAAATCAGCAGAGCGTCAAAACTAGAACTGCAGTCAGTCCCAAAGAAGGATCAGCCTTCCGTACAAAGGTGACTCTCAGAGTGCAATCCTTAAGCAGAGACTTAACGCTGCTGTTAGAAGGACTTACTATGCAGCCAGGGTTCGAGTTATAGAAACCACGAAGCCCTTATATTCCCCCAAACCCCCACAGCATGTGGACGATAATGTCACATACCATTGTATCTACCAATTCAAATGTACTTGTGGTGACACATACATAGGGAGAACTAATAGATCCATGCAAGTAAGGGTCTCGGAACATATTCCAAAGTGGCTTCAGCAGCAAATTAAATCACCTGAACCCATAAATGTTGGTAGCAGACGTCCAAGTTCTTCGATCGCTAAACATATCGTTGAGACAGGTCACAAGATTGATGTGACCACTTCCTTTACACCTATTTACAAAACATGTTAGGGAGGGATCCTGAAATTTGTTGAAGCCTTAGCTATTAGGAAGTTTAAACCACCTTTATGTATTCATAAACAATTTGTTGTCACATTAAACCTTCCTTGGTAAATTCAACTATTGAAAAACCAAGTTCGATGTACTATTATTTTTTCGCTCTATTGATTTTCATTATTACTCAGCCTTTAAGTCAGCCTTCCTACCTGACCCCTTTTTATTTTCTCACCCCTTATCTTCATGAGTTTTTATAAAAATACCTATGACAAGTAAGTGTGTGATCAGATAGTTCAAAATGTGTTGCGCAAATATAATACACGGTTCAGACAATTTACGTCTTCTTATTGTTTTGTCGAAAAAGAAGTCCCTGAAACACTGAGAAATTAGTAGTTCTGGAATACTGTAACTAAAAGGGAAAGTTTAATGCGATAATGTGAGGCTATGGTGCTATGCATTTCAACCCGTGTTGACCCTTACATATATTCTACAAGAAGTAAAAACTAGATAATGCCTAGTAAAGTAATTATCACAAACGTATTGATACTATACAGAATCGGTCTAATAGGGTAATAATAATTTACCAGTTTTCCTATCTAAGATGGCCATGGCTTGACAGAAGTGTAAAAGTGCAATAAAAATCTGAGAAGTTAGTTAACTAAGACACCGCTCGTTCGAATCCTATCATAGCACAAATTTTCATCTTATCTTTAATCATCACCTAGTACTAATAATAACGATTTGTTTCTGAAAATAACAGGACTTCAATTCTTGTGTAGCTGGTACTATACCATACTGAAGGTTAAAGTTGCAACATATGTTGTGTCTTTCTTCTTAGACAGGCTAGATAAATCTTTCCAAAATATTTCACTCAGTTCTTCTTCTTCTAGTGATCAGTTTTTATCTTTCTAGAATGTTGTCGACATGTCACTACTCACCTAAATGCTTTTTACCAACAAAACATTCCACACCCTATATTTGGATTGCTTCAAATAGTGAAAATAATCTCGCTGTAGATTCCAGGCCAAGAAGCTACAATGTTTTTGTCATATAAATGTCAAAATAATACTCAGATCATGATATATTGATCTCGGAATCCAGGATGCGCGTTTCAATCTGTTTAAGACTAGTCAGCTAGATTTGCCTTCATCCCCCTGGGTGATGTTGTTCCCACTGATGCTCGAATCCAATGCCCTTCAGTTCAAACACCAGAGCTTTACTCACTAAGCCACTGGGACACGATAGCCACCTCTTGTGTAACAGGTATCAGTTGTTGTTATGATACCAGTAATTTGCCGTTGCTATACACAAGCAAACTGCTCAACTTCTGTTGGCACATAGGCTCCTATGCGGACGCCTTGATACTGCTGATTATTCATGATGTAGTTTTTATTTATTGTGGCTATTGTATTCCAGTGGCTTAGTGAATAACGCTTTGACCTTTGAAGTGAAGGGCACTGTTTTCTAGCATCAATGGGAACAACACAATTCACTGGAATGTGGGTTTATCCAGCTGACGAGTCCCAAATAGGATGAAACGCGCGTCCTGAATCATAATTGCAGTCACCGAGATCAATTTATTGTCATGAATAATCAGCAGTAGCCAGGTATCCGGATAGAAACCTATCTGCTAATAGAGGTCCAACGATTCCGCAGTGTATAGCAACAGGAAATCACAAGTATCACAGCGATTAAAACTTGATCACTTTAACTTAATAATTCGTAATTAGTAAACCCACAAAAATATACAGTGGTTCGCCAACACACTAGTACTGAAGTAGTATGCTGAATGACTGACGCACATTTAAAAAAAAATTAATCCTTCATAAAACATGGGTAAACACCAGTTTATCAGCAACAAACTGCCTGGTAAGTGAATATTACCATCCTTGAAAGAATTCATCTAACAAGTGACTGAAGTAAAAGGTGAATTCAACCAAAATGTTATGACTACATTCAAGTTGTTAATAACATCAGTCCCTAATTGACCTACACATTCTGTAGAGTTTCACAGTTTCTTACGTAAATGAACTGAACATTTTTTAGAGACAGAACTTGAGGAATAGACATTAATATTCAATGACATGTCAAAAGAAGTGTACTTAACTCTAAAAAGCCTAAAACAGTTTAATTTCCACAATAAAACGAAACAAGTTCTCATAATTTTAAAGTCATATGTTTCATTGCTCGCAAGATAGCTTATTCAAAACTTATTTAATCATACACTTTCCGTATTACTATTACTATTATTATTTTATTTGTCCCTTGGGTTCCTAGTGGAACACAGGGATTCAGTAGCACGTCTCCAATGCGCTCTGTTCTCTGCTATCTTTTCAACCTGAATCCACCACTGCTCAGATGCTCTCATTTCTTCCTCACACCATCTACGCCATGTCACCCTCGCCTCAGACGCCTAACTAGTCGTTTCTCATCTGGATTTCACTCGACGGTCTGGCCTCGCACCTCATGTCCCCAGTCGGCCTTCTCAGTGTATGCCCAATTCATCTCCACTTCCTTCCAGTGCATATTTCCTCACCGATACGTTATTACTTGGTTCGTTGACAACCAGCCAGCCAGCCAGCCAGCCAGCCAGCCAGCCAGCCAGCCAGCCAGCCAGCCAGCCAGCCAGCCAGCCAGCCAGCCAGCCAGCCAGCCAGCCAGCCAGCCAGCCAGCCAGCCAGCCAGCCAGCCAGCCAGCCAGCCAGCCAGCCAGCCAGCCAGCCAGCCAGCCAGCCAGCCAGCCAGAGTTCCTTGTTCCTCATTCTTTCTGGCCACCCCATCTCATCTTCAGTAACGAGTCAGAGTAGGTGGCAATTGTTGATGAATGTGTAGTGTGTGTAGTTTGTTGGAAATGCTTTTCGTAACACACCAAGTCCCTGAGCCATATAGAAGCACTGACTTACTTGACTGTATTGGTGTTGAGAATGCAGATGTTGTTGACGTTTTATGCTGAGTGGAGTGAAGTAGATCTTCACAGTTGTTTCAGGTTAATGAACGCCTGTCTTTCTGTCTTTTCTATCCTGACTTCCTTGACATCCTCATCTGTGCCGCCTTATGCTTTCCGTACCGATAATTAAGTGGCTGCTTTTTGATGAATGCTTCATCAATATTTTCATCTACTATAATGACAAAATGTGCAGCAGATTGTCATTCAACTGAAAACTTAGTAAACAACTTGGAAGCAACCTTTCGAAGAAAAAATCTCCTTTGAAATATATATATTTTTCATATATTATTCGTGATTACCACACTTATATTCATTCATAATTTATTCAAAAACATTCAAGGGAATAATTTGTATTTTATGTCGAATTCATTTCTACATTTTAGTGGTAAAATAGCTTTGAGGCCGACTATTAAATGTCCTCTGGTAATAAATCCAGACAAGGATGCGGAAAGAATTAACAGATCAATAAAATTAATTGGTACGTTGTAACTGTTGTGCAATTTTTAAATTATTTTCAGTGAATCCATTTAATGTGAAACCACTTGTAGTGATTATTTCATTTATCATCACAAAATTTCATTTATATGATTAAAAATAAAAAAGAAATGAATATCAGTGTAAGAATGCAAAAGTTATCAACAATCCACTAATATATATTCAAGATGTTCAACTTCATTCAACAGCTATATGAAGATGCCATAGGCCAAGCGATTTACAGTGGAAAGCTCAGCCCAATGATGCCTTTAAAGTGTTTATAGGAGTAAGACAACGTTGCCACCTACTATCACTCATGATCTTCCAGATTGTGGTTGACTGGATCGTGCAGCAAACTGTGAGGAGCAAGAAGAGGGCCATACTCTGGCTGGACCGATGAAAAGACCCCAAAAGAACATTTGCATTTCCCCCATCATTTATATCTAATGTTATGTGGCACAAACTCGAAGATCTACAGGCGAAAACTAACAAGTTGACAACAAGTACCAATCACCATCACCAACGAGAGAAACATAAAGGAAGTAGTCTCTTGCACCTACCTAACTAAGCAAGCTGCATGTTTCAACTACAGGCGGCACAGTCACAGACGAGGATGTCAAAATCAGCCAGGTTTGGAAAGACAGTATGACAGGCTTTCATCAATCTGAAATCGGTGTAGAGATCTACTACACTCAGCACAAAAAACGACATCCAGATTCTAAACACCAATTCAGTCAAGTCTGTCAGTGCTGCTATATGGTTCAAAAACTAGGTGTGTCATGAAAGGCATTTCCAACAAACTACAGACATTCATCAACACCTGTCACCTACACTCATTCGATACTGAACATGCTGATCAGATGGCCAGAATAATAAGAATAAGCAAGAAGGAACTCTGGCCGGCTGGCTGGCTGGCTGGCTGTCAACGAACCAACCAACCAGGAACCTATCACCAACAAATATGCAGAAGAGTGTGGAAGTGGAGATGGATTGGATCGTGCATACACTGAGAAGGTCGACTGGGGATATCACGTATCAGGCCATGTGGTGGAGTGAAATGGAAAGGGGAAATGACGAGTTGAGGGTGATATAGAGGAGATCATGTAAGAAAGAAATGAAAGCCTGCGGGTACCAATTCTAAGTGATTTGAAGCATTTCTGTAGATCTTTTCAAATGGAAATTCGTTTCATTTCCTATATATACATAAAGCTACACAGGATATCGAATTTGGTTAGCACTTAGAACCAGAAAACATGAAGCTGATAACTCTCTAGTGACCAATCTGTAGCTTTAAGCCTTCTTACGTATCCTTCAAATCTCTGTAATACTTACGTACACGATTCGTTTATGATTGCAAGATTACGGCATTTTCACAATATCGACGAACCTTGACAACTGGAATCTGTGTTTTCACATTTAAGCTGTCTGAGTTGAGTTTATATCAAAAGCATCATCAACACTGATTGTTGAATGAAAAATCCATATCCATCTTGTCGTTGGCTAAAAAATTCCAAAAGTAATATTAGAGCTTGAGAAGGATCTGACTGTATACAACAATCCACATCCTGCATAACTTACAAAGAAAAATGCAATGTGAATAAAGGTTTTTATTAAGACTAAGATGATATAACTGATAAAGAGTAAGGGTTGAAAATTAACTTAAAACTTGGGTAGTGCTAAGTCCCACATCTCCAGCCTACAGATTACCGGCCTGGTTCTCCATTAGGTTTTTATTCCCCGTGCTAATAATATATGCATAGGGGAAATAAGATTGCTAACACTTTCTTACTACTCGTAAGTAGCCTAATGTTTTCAAACAAATATTTCAAGAATCAACAAGATGTGTTACACACGTTCGGCACTTTTCAGTATTTATCTGTAAACAAATATCTCGGTTAGTCTTACATAATGATAACTGCAAAGGGAATAAACCATGGGTAACGTTTTAAAATACCAATGTGGAGATCTTCTGCACTCAATAACAACGTCAAGTGAATGCTTCTATGTTATGGTTGAGAGACTTGGCGCGTTACGAAAAACATTTCCAACAAACTACAGACAATCACCAGCAATTGCCTAAGCTAACTCGTTACTGAAGATCAGATGAGATGGCTATAGAGAATAAGCAACAAGTAAATCTGGCCGGCTGTCAACGAACCAACCAAGAATCTATCGCTCAACAAATATACAGAAGGAAGTGGAGATGAAATGTATTGGGCATACACTGAGGAGTCCGACTGGGGATATCACGCAACAGGCCAGGCTCTCAAGTAGAATCCAAAGGGGGAACGATGAGTTGGGCATTCGAGGTGAGAATGACATGGAGGAGATCATCTGAGGAAGAAATGAGAGCTTGTGGGCTGTCGTGGATGCAGGTTGAAAAGATTGCAGAGAACATGATGGAATGGTGACGTGGTAGTGAAGCCTTATATTCCACTAGGAACCCAAGGGACATATAATCACAATAATAATAACGTTTTCAAATACAGAATTGAACAATACCAATACCACATTGGTATTTTAAAACGTTACCCATGGTTTATTCCCTTTGCAGTTATCATTATGTAAGACTAACCCAGATATTTGTTTACAGATAAATACTGAAAAGTGCCGAACGTGTGTAACATATCTTGTTGATTCTTGAAATATTTGTTAGATGTAATAAAGCTTGGCAGACTATAATTCCATTTTAGTTGATTTATTGTATGTATCAGACGGTGGGAAACCATTGTTGAGTAGATTTCGTTTCCGAAGCAATTTATTGTTTAAAGTTGTATCAAGAGAACTCTATAACTTTAAGACGTGATGTTAGCAGTTGTAAGGTCATCTTGATAAGATTATGGATCATGAGTTGTGTTCGAAACGCATCCAATAAGTCAACTAAAATTGAATAGCACAAGCTCATGATACAAGAAATAGAAATGCGTTTATCCTTCCACCTACATCTTGTCTATAAGCTTATATTGCCAATCAGAAACATCAATCCATCTTTCATGCGATTAGTTCCCTTTAAAAATATTAGCAAACCAAGAGTAACAGATTTTACAGAATAAAATGAATTCAGGTTATTTCGTAACCTTTTTCTCAACTGTATACATAATATATAAGTATAAGATATATTCAGGACAATAAAATTGAAATACCTTAATGATTAAGAGGAAGTTTTAATGAGAAGTCGTAACCTGTGAAGCTAACTAGTCAGAAGTCAAATGGATGATTAACACATTCTCTCTGAAAGCTGAAGATCTTGAGTTACACCCCTGACGGGAAAGGTGGTGGGTGCCTACTACTACTGCTATGAAACAACTTTCTAATGCCACCAGGTTTTCAATAGTTCGTCGTCAAATGCCAGTCAGTCATGTATACTACCTTAATAGGGAGGCAGTTCATCGATGAAGGTTGGTGATAGAAATGTTACAGATTCAAGAAGTCTAAATGAAAATAGATTAAATTACTTATTTAATAAGAGATGATCATTCTACTTGATTTGAAAAGCCAAAAAATGGGTTAGAAAAGATTAAAAAGTCTGTATGATAAGTTAGTGGTGTAAATACAAACAAGGCTAACAAGGGAGCATCCGTTAAAGCCAAATTGGTTTACATTGGATAGTAAGACTTTGCTTCCCTAATTCTTAGTAAGTTCACATTTTTTTGTTCGTTGAGTATTTTAAATCTATTTGAGATTCAGATTTCGAGTTCTGCGTGTAGCTTGTATTTTTGAAAGCCTGTAAATAGTTCAAAAAGAAGGCTCCAAAATATCATGATTCAGCTAATCCATTATTATCAATTTGACTATTTAAGATAGCGATGGTTTAACACCTAGTTTGTAACTGGACGTCATAACTCGGTAGGGCAGACTGCCGGTAATCCAGTGATGTCTGGTTCATATCTTGGAGCAGACAAGATTTTCTTTTCATCCTCAAACATATACTGTTGTCAATTACCTTTAGTAATGCTATATAGATAGGGTTACTTAAATCCACTAACTACAGTAACTGTTAGAAATACAAACATTCTTGTTTCAATTATTATCATTTTTTTCCTTCGGTTCCTAGTGGAACATAGGGCTTCAGTACCATGCCTCCATTCCACTGTTTTCTCTACAGTCTTTTCAACCTGGCGCCACCACTGCCCACAAGCTTCCATTTCTTCCTCAAACGATCTCCCCCATGTCACCTTCACCTCCCACATCCAACTTATCGTTTCCCCTTTCCATTTCACTCCACCACATGGCCTGATACGTGATATCCCCAGTCGACCTTCTCAGTGTATGCACAATCCAATCCATCTCCACTTCCACACTCTTCTGCATATTTGTTGGTGATAGGTTCCTGGTTGGTTGGTTCGTTGACAGCCAGCCAGCCAGCCAGCCAGCCAGAGTTCCTTCTTGCTTATTCTTATTATTCTGGCCATCTGATCAGCATGTTCAGTATCGAATGAGTGTAGGTGACAGGTGTTGATGAATGTCTGTAGTTTGTTGGAAATGCCTTTCATGACACACCTAGTTTTTGAACCATATAGCAGCACTGACAGACTTGACTGAATTGGTGTTTAGAATCTGGATGTCGTTTTTTGTGCTGAGTGTAGTAGATCTCTACACCGATTTCAGATTGATGAAAGCCTGTCATACTGTCTTTCCAAACCTGGCTGATTTTGACATCCTCGTCTGTGACTGTGCCGCCTGTAGTTGAAACATGCAGCTTGCTTAGTTAGGTAGGTGCAAGAGACTACTTCCTTTATGTTTCTCTCGTTGGTGATGGTGATTGGTACTTGTTGTCAACTTGTTAGTTTTCGCCTGTAGATCTTCGAGTTTGTGCCACATAACATTAGATATAAATGATGGGGAAATGCAAATGTTCTTTTGGGGTCTTTTCATCGGTCCAGCCAGAGTATGGCCCCCTTCTTGCTCCTTACGGTTTGTCCTTGTATCGATACATAACATTATATCTCCTTTGTAAGGTTCCAGTTATTTGAGATAATTTGGTCAACTTCTTTGGATCCATTTATTTTGCACACCATTAATACTTACATTCTTCTCAAGATTTTTGTAACAACTAGCAATTATGAGAATTAGTTTGTTTATAAAGATGAGTCAATTATGTACTTCACTGACATCATTTCAATCAATGTATAAGTACGGCTGTTTCGTCCTAGTATGAGACTCCTCAGCAGTACGCACCCACGACCCGACTAGAGGTCTAACTCTGGACCTTCAGGTTCCACGGCGAACGCGCTAACCATTCAGCCGTGACCTGTGGAGCCAGCCGGTCGGAAGTGAAGTGGATGCTAACTGAAGACCTTGGGTGACAGTCGTGCTATGTCGTGAATTGATAGAAGTTGGAAATTGTGAACCACTGAAAACCGACCCACTGGCTGAATGGTTAACGTGTTCGCCGTGGAACCTGAAGGTCCTGAGTTCGACCGCTAGTCGGGTCGTGGGTGCGTACTGCTGAGGAGTCCCATACTAGGACGAAACAGCTGTCCAGTGCTCCCAGACTTCCAATGGTTCCCTAACTGATGTTAGTCCATGATGAATACTACTTCTAATTTAAAAATTCCCATTCATCTCAAAAATACAATGTATAAGTACTTTTAAAGTACAGATGTACTTTTTAATCATTTTTTCTTGTATTGAAATTCTTTCTCTATTTAAAATTAGTTCATACCATCTAATTAATTAATTTAATTTATGCAAACAAAGACTTTCAAGTTTGTTTGGTTAAATTGTGATTAGTCTCACGTTTGAAATAAAGAAAGAGTAAGGAATAAGTGTTTACACCTATTGGACAAGAGACTCTTAAACTTATGTATTGTACTTACTGTTACCAATTTGTAGAATGTATCTGAAAGCTTTGGGAAATGATCGACAGCAATCACAACTAGATAACATAAAGTTGATTTATATTCAATGATCAATTAGGGCGCCTAATCCAACCCTATAATAGTTCAGTCGAGGCCAAAATATATCAGTGATAACTTTAATGACTATGGTACTGGTTGTTATAGGTTTGAATTTCTTGATGGATATCAGTTCCCTTGAGGAGTGCGAAAAATCCCGAAATCTAGGTCAAGTAGTGCTTACTGTTTGTTGCCGTCAACTATTTGCCATCAAATTCATGCTTTCAAAGACACTTAAAGTTGTATAAATGAATCCTTATGCCAAAAGATTATCAAACAGATTATCTTTAGAAAACTAAGTCTGATACAAATATTATCTACTCAATGACAAGTAGGTTAGCTTTCACACACTTAACACCGTTTGAAGTCTATGAAACATGCGCTTAATACCATCAGTTATCTTTATAACTTGACCGTAATGTTCTACTATTTTCTGTTTTGGTGGTGGATATTTTGAAGTAGTCAACACTTTAAACCTGGAAGCTAAATTGTTCAATATACGGTGATTTATTTCAGGAAACACATTATTATTCTTTAAACTCTAAAATAATCGCTATCTTCTTTCTTGTTTTCAGGTCCTGATGAAGATGTTATCAATGAGATACTTGGTCATAGAAACTTTCAACAACGTATGGCAATTGCGGAAGCTTATAGGCGATTATACAACAAAGTATTAAAGCCGATATCACCTATAACCATTTTCTGAATATAAAACATGTCTAGTTTATCCTGAATTAATACAAGAAATGGTGTACAAGTCAACCATTATATACACTAATAGAAAATAGGTTCATTGTGATGTGCTCATTTGCTTTAAGCAACAGTTACACCGTTTCGCAACTCACAGCTTTTCTCACCTCTGGTAAATCGAAGAGAGAATGCATAAATATTGTTAAACGACATGCAGGTTAAGCCTCTGTAAGGAGGATAATTTCAAAATCAGTAGTTGTTTCATTAAACGAAGTTATTTCATCAACGGACATCTTCTAATAAAGTCCAACTCGCTTCAACTAATGGACTAAAATGTATAGATAAAGTATTCATTCAAACTATATTAGTGAGTAATGTGAACGCTCCGGTTCTAACAGCATCACTGCAGTAGCAGATATCACTGAATCTAATCTCGACTGAACAATTTTCCTAAAAAAAGTACTGACAATAAATGTGATAAACACTGAGACTATTTGGGAATAAATTGTGGTTACTTTAACTAAGTACCTGAGATAGAAGTCTGGTTAGCCTGTGGGTTCCTTTGAACAGTCCCTAAATATCATCATGGAAAAGAAAACTGTTTTATCTAAACTCTACCAACCTGATCAATAATGAAGTGGCTTTAGTCCGTTAACCAGCTGACGAAATTCATGTGTTTCCAAATACCAGGCATTACCAAAGGTAAAATATTAGCCACGGGTGGCGCGATACAGCACACCACATTGCAAATTAACTATGATTAGAAAATATGAGCAGGATACGCTGGATTCAAAACTATGACAGGAACAACAAGAAGCCCAGATCATTATCAACGGGAGAAACTGAAAAGAAGTAGCCTCTTTCACCTATCCAAGCAGATTTGTTTCAAATACAGGCGGCACAGGCACAGACGAGGATGTCAAAGTCAGCCAGGATAGGAAAGACAGAAAGACAGGCGTTCATTAATCTGAAACAACTGTGGAGATCTTCTGCACTACACTCAGCATAAAACGTCAACAACATCTGCATTTTCAACACCAATACAGTCAAGTAAGTCAGTGCTCCTGTATAGCTCAGAGACTTGGTGTGTTACGAAAAGTATTTCCAACAAACTACACACACTACACATTCATCAACAACTGACACCTACTCTGACTCGTTACTGAAGATGAGATGGTATGGCCAGAAAGGGTGAGCAACAAGGAACTCTGGCTGGCTGGCTGGCTGGCTGGCTGGCTGGCTGGTTGTCAACGAACCAAGTAAGAACGTATCGGTGAGGAAATATGCACTGGAAGGAAGTGGAGATGTATTGGGCATATACTGAGAAGACCATTCGGGGACATCACGTACCAGGCACTGGAGTGGAATCTAGATAGGAAACGACGAGTTGGTTGTCTGAAGTGAGGGTGACATGGCGTAGTGGTGTGAGGAAGAAATGACAGCTTCTGGACAGTCGTGGAGCAAGGTTGAAAAGACTTCAGAAAAGAGAGTGCAATTGAGGTGTGCTACTGAGTCCCTGTGTTCCATTGGGAACCCAAGGGACAAATAATATAATGCAATAAATAACATGGAAAATATGATCATATATATATATATATATATCAATAGTGAGTAGGGCCTTTATTCAATGGTGACACTATTTTTATACTTTGATATCTGCTGACCAGTAAGTAACATCCAGTATTGTCAACCTAAAGTGCTTTTTAGGCTCTTAAAGTCTAATTCCTAAATAACTGCGGAGAAGTTTATCCAAATAGTTTAGAGGCAATAAAGGACTACCTGAAGGCTTATGCACATCAACAACATACTTCAAGTGGCGTAATATTTTGTAGGCAAACGGATAAATATTTTTATCATACGTACCTATAGTTCAAGCAGTAACCAGCGGTCAAATTATTATGATTATTATTTGTCCCTTGGGTTCCTAGTAGAATATAGGGCTCGACCACCACATAGAAGTACTGACTTACTTGACTGACATCAGTGTTGAAAATCCGGATCTTTTTCACACTTTATGCTGAGTGCAGCGCGGTGCAGTGGAGTGTAGTTGATTTCCACACTGAATTCAGGCTAATGAAGTCCTGTCTTGCTGTGTTTCCGATTCTGGCTGGCTTTGATATCCTCATCTGTCCCTGTGTTGCCTGTAGTGGAAACATGCTGCCTGCCTAAGTAGGTAGGTGAAGGAGACTACTTCCTTCAGATTTCTCGCGTTGATGGTAGTTGGTGCTTGTTGCTGTTGTTGTAGTTGGGTATCTTTATCACCTCTGTCTTCTCTGCATTCACTTAATGTCCTATCTTCGCTGACACGCTCCGCCTCTTCTGTCAAATTGTTGTTTTTCACCTGTTGATCTTCGAGTATGTACCACATAACATTAGATATAAATTATCGGGGAAATGCAAATGTTCTTGTGGGGTCTTCTTATCGGTCCAGCCAGCGTATGCCCCTCCTCTCCCTCCTCACAGTTTTTGCATGATCCATTCGACCATCATCAGGAAGATCATCGGTGATAGTAGGCAACCTCGTCTTGTCTTACTCCTATCTTCACTTCAAAGGCATCAGTGAGCTATCCGTTGTCAATCACTTGGCATGTGGCGTCTTCATATATCTGTTGAATGGGGTTAATAAAGGTTTGTGGCACTAAAACCGTAGTGTTGAAGCAGCTGCCTAGCAAATTACTTGTCGGTCGACGCATCGATCGAAGGCCTTTTCAAAGTTGATGAAGTTGAGGCAGGGTTGAGTTGACTGCTATTCTATACTCTGTTCTATGATGATGCGTAGTGTAGCGTTGCAATTTGGTCCGCACATAATTTGTTCTTCCTAAAGCCAGCCTGTTTCCGTCGTAGTTTTGAATCCAGAGCATTTATCAGTCTCTCAAGGATGATGTGGTTGAATATTTTGCGAGGGATGGACAGTAGCACGATTCCACGCCAGTTCTTGTTCTTGCGAAGACTTATTTCTCCCTTTTTTGGAAGTTTGACAAGGTACATCTTCTTCCAATCAATCTTCAGGTACCTTCCCTTCTTTCCCTACAAACCTTCCACAATGAAAGTGTGTGCATGTCCGCTGTTGTCTTTGAGTCTGCTTTCGGTGCTTCAATGCTCTTGGGGACATCACGATAGTCACTCGGAAACTCAGTGTGCTCGTAGTTGTCATCTGGATGACGATATCGGAGTAGATTACTGACTCCCCTGCAGCTGACAGTTTGGAAAGTCCACTTCCATTCCATCTGCTCTCTCAGATTCTTAGCAGATTCCTATGCTATACCTCCTCATCTCTTTGGTAATCTGGGCAGCCTTGCCAGCCAGCCAGCCAGCTTCAAACATCGTGCGGACATTCGATGTCCTCATCCTTACTATCGCTTTCATCCAGGGAAGAGAAGACACATCGACCAATTGGCTTCCCGAAGGCTTTCCCTGACCGAAGTCGTTTTGTCTCTCCGATTCCAGCGAGGAATAAGTTTGTTTTTATTTTTTATATTTTCTCCCTGCTTTGAAGTTGCCTTAGCAACTGAATTGGTTTCACGGGTAGGGTTGTTAGCCCTATGCCCAGCCTTCACTCTTTATCAGTGCTTAGGACCGACTAATAACTAGTGAACTAGTTAACCAGGAGAGGTTAAGAAGCAGTCAAAAACCTAGATGAATTCTAAAAGATAATTAAACAACCACATCTACTTCAGTTTCTAATAATTTATCGATTAAAAATTGAAAAGAAACAACCGTTTCCTTATTGATGCCTTCCAGACCATTTAGTATTTGCTAAAAGACGGCAAAAATCTTTAGTTCCATCATATTGAACATTGAAAGGGCAATATTGAATATTGAAATGTGAATTAATTCATCTTATTATGATCTTTTCTTTTGTTGTTTTCAAATGTGAAGGAAATAACGGATCATTTAGGTTCTGTCCTACTTGGTAGTTATGACAGTCTTGTGAAAACATTGTTCAGAAGTCCTTTGGGAATCTTAGCAAATGATCTATATAAAGGCATAAAGCCACTGGGTTGCAATTATCAAATAATAACTGATATAATCTGTTGTTGCAACAACACTGAAATATATCTACTGAAAAGAGAATATGAAAAAAGTAAGTGTACTTCATTGACAAAAACTAAACACTAATATTTTTTGATACGCTTGTAGTTCTCCGTTGTTTTACTGGATCGAATTGTTCGACCGTTGTTCGTATATCATGTCTCAGTGACCTAGTAGATAATACTTTGATGTTTAAAGCAATGGGTGCGAGGTTCCAGTCTGAGTGGGGACAACATTATTCACTGGGATGCAGGTGTATCCAGCTGAAGAGTCCAAAGTAGGACGAAACACTGGTCCTGGATTCCTCTGCTAGCCACAACCAAGTTAACTATCATAAAAAATTGAACACTCGAATGCAGATAAAATAAGTAAAAACTAAAGTCATACTGTTACGTAAGTTTTATCGCATGAAAGTTGGTGGTTTAAACTCAGTAACTTAGAGAATAAGGCTCTGATATGACCCGAAATATATAACGTTCAATAACTATTGGAGTTTCTTCATAAAAATGAAGATTTAAATATTCTTAATGAGTCATAATGGAATAAAGACCTCAACGAACAAACTGACTTTTGGGATATTATCTTCTGTATAGTCAGAGGTACCCATAATTTTATCTATTATTAAGCCTATAACAAAGTTGAACAGGAACGGTGACAGCGGGAACCCTTGACGAACATTTTTATTTGTCGTCATTTAAGATAACAACTCCATATAAGCACTCAGATTACCCAATGAATTGGAGTAGAAAGCTTTGACTAACGTTACAAACTTGCTTGATACTTCTTTCACTGTCAGACACTACCACAACGCCTCTTGTTTGACATAGTCAAACGTTGTTTTGAAGTCAAGAAATATGACAACTGCTAGCCAGTCGTAAAAATATGGATCCAAGAATAGTTGTGGTTGTCACAGAAGGACTTTTCTCCCTTCCTTATAGACTGAAATGATTAGTGAAATAGACCAATCCGACAAAACTACTATTGACTCCAATATGTCACCTATTACCACCATCATTATGCGGAGTAATTTCCTACTTCCATCCTTATTCTTCTATAACAATGATACATTGTACACGTTTTAGGAAATCGCCAAATTCGTAACGTACGATGGTGTTGGAATGCAAAAGTATGAGTAAAACCAACACATTTGAAAATGGTCTATTGGATGAACGATGAACATATATAGAAAAATAATCATTTACCTTCATTGATTTGTTGATGTATATAGTTTCACCATGAAAAAAAAATGGTTTCATGACTACATTTTTGAGTTAAACTAATAAACGTTTATTTTAAAAATTTCTCTTTTTACAGTATTAATGATAGAAGATCCAAAAGGTAAGAATAAATTATTTCTTTTGGAATAATATGTGCTTACATAATCATTATTTAATGAATCCATTGTCACTTTGCAACACCATAGTATGTTGAATCAGTTTATCTACAAAATAATATGTAATGCTATATATATTAATGCTCACACTGTAGCTCAGCACGTTAATCCTTAAGCTGCCGACCAACTTAGTCATGCTCTGCCTAATATCATCACAATCTCCAAATAGATAGATGAGATAACCAATTCAACCAACTACTGTAAGGCATCGAAAAAAGTGGTTCCTATCTACAATAAAACTCATTAAAAAGAAAATACTATTCCTTAGGTGTATTATGAATCTCTACACAGTAGAACACAACATTCAAATTTAAAACAGAAGTTTACTTGAAAAATCTTCACCTGAAGTCAGATTTCTACGCTGTATCCTTACAATTTAGTGTATAAAAGAAATTATCATTCTGAAAGGTGTTAGTCATGTTCTTACATGTTCAAGCATGATCGTTAAATTCCATAAGCTTACTATTATGAGGAAGTAAGGTAAATGACCCAGACCCAGAGGGAAAACGATGAGTCTGGCGCCTGAGGCAAGGGTGACATGGAGGAGATGGTGTGAGGAAGAAATGAAAGCTTATAGGCAGTGGTGGAGACAGATTGAAAAGACTGCAGAGAAGAGAGTGAAATGGTGACGTAGTAGTGAAGCCCTGTGTTCCACTAGCGACGCAAGAGGAAAAAAATCTCTGGGTTGGAATTCGTCATGTACTAACATCAGAGACCTGGGAGCACAGGACAGCTGTTTCGTCCCACTAGTCTGGGAGTCCCCGACAGTGCGCACCCCTGACCCCACCCGTCAGGGGTTGAACCTAGGGCATTCAGGTTCTGAGGCCAGTACCTTACCAGTGAGCCACTGGGTCGCAATCCAATGGTTTACATTTCGTACTTCTGTCAGTTCACGATATAGCATGACCCACATCCAATTTCATTCCTGAGTAACTGTTCTCATGTTTGACTTGGTTGACTCTACCGGTCACGACTTTTCATTGGAACTTTGGGAGTCACCTCTCAAAGGTAGTCACCAATGAGAGCTGGATTAATTCTATCTAGAAGAAATGCGAACCATTGGGTTCCGACCCAGAGGCTCAGTGGTAACATGCTGGCCACGGAACCTGAAGACCGTGGGTTCGATTCCTGGTGAGGCGAGGTCATGGGTTTTCGCTGCTGAAGAGTCCCGTAGTAAGGCGAAATATCTGTCCAGTGCCCCAGGTTTCCGATGTTCCTCCGACTGGTGTCAGTCAATTCATAGACCTCCACACACCTCTAGATAAAATAAATCTTTATTTAAAGTCAACTCATAAACTCCAAGTTCAATTATTTATTGGCATAAGGATTAAAGGAAGCGACTCAGTGGTCAAGCTTGTCTTTAAATGTAAAACTTCGAACTAAATCGTAATCCCCACCCACGTAACTTAACTTGTTAGTTTCTAGGAAATCCTCACTTGGTATAATTGATAAAGATGCATTAAAAGTTATAAAATAGCCTCAGTCTTTAGTTCGGTCTTCATATTCAAGGTTGATGAAGTTGACTTAAATCTTGTATCATAAAACGATCTCATGTATCCATAATAATACTGCTGGTTAAATAATCAAAGTCAACCAATAACCAGGTGTTGGTTTCACTCCAGTTACTTAGTGTTTTCACCAGCTGTAATGTAGGTGGGGGGTTCATATACTTATTACACAACCACGTTTACTCATCCTTATTTAAATGAGTCTGAGGTAGAAAGAGTAAGCGAATAACTTATCATTTGGTAATGAGATGAAAAGTCGTGGTAAAAGTGAAGTTGTTATTACTGGTGGACAGTGGCTAGCAAAGGAATTCAAGTTGCACGTTTCGTTCCATGTGAGACTTGTTATCTACATGTACCTTCCTTTCCAGTGAGCGGTGTTGTCTACTATGACTCAGGCCGAGAAACCAGTCGGTTCGAATACTAGAGCGTTATCTACTTGGCCACTGTACCACAATAGCCACTCCTTACGTGGTGAGTGTAGTATAGTTTAGATGATATTACTTAAAAATCTTCATCGTTAACCGGACCAAAGTGATCGGTTACTATGGGCGTATGGGCCTCCGTGCAGATGCCTCGATATTCCTGGTATTGTCAGCTGAAATGACAGCAAGGGTGACAACTTATAGCCAGGTTTAAATCACTTTCTTTCTTTTGAAGAATCTAATGGTAAAAGTTTTCAGAATGATGTAGCCTTGTGGTACACCACTCGTAGTTTAGCAAAATCAGTGACGCTTTATGTTTTGTCTGTAAAACTCATTCAAGATTGAATAGTAAAGAGAAAAAGCGATCTTGATCTGATGATAAGCGTATTCATATGATCTAAAACTGCAGGTGATTAACTACAGTGAAAATGAGAACAGATGTGTATTTTCTTGGTTGTATTGTATTCTGTGAGCTGGGTTGTTTAATCGTGAAGCTTTCATCGTCCATCTAGACGATATCATCAGCACTAACTTCATGAATGTAACTTCAATATGAAGTTACTACTGATAATGTCTACTAGAATGACGATGAAAGCTTCATGATCAAACAATCCGGCTCAGAGAACACAACACAGTCAAGACCATCCACCTGAGCTACAAATATTCCCCATTATTTCAAAATTATACGAGCGTAGCACGCTTTGCGTTGTTCGAAGATGGGAAGACTTCTCTCTAAAAGGCAAGCTTTCACAAGAGATTAACTATTCTTTCTCAATGAGTGCCTATGTCAACATGTTCTGCCGAAGAGTGTCAGATATAGACCACCGATTAACTGCCCAATGGGATAGAAAATAGCTGAACAAAGTGGAAGGCAAACGGTACAAGTGATGATCACAGATACACATCATCGGACTCAGAAATACTAATCAGTGATCAATAATCAAAAGATGTGTATTTTCTCTACACTGAAGTTTCACATTAACCTGACTAATTGAGGTTTTATGAATATATTGTATATGAATGATCATAAATCTGGAATATTAGTTAAAATGAATGTTTGCTGACTGAATTATAAGTCATTATATAAAAATTCTAATTGTACTATGTTTACACTTGAAAATGAGTTCAAGTAATGTTGGTGACATCTACATTACTGCCATTTTTATCATAGGTTACCGACAGCGTTCTTTGGAAATAGATGTTATAAAAGAGTCGAAGGGTGCTTACAGATTACTTATGCAACAATTACTAAAGGGTGAACGCTGTGAAGACAATATAGACAAAACAAATACAAATGAGAATTGTACACTTCAAGTTGATCATAAACTTGTTGAAGATGATGTTCTCGAACTATATGAAGCAAGTGAAGGGTAGGTTCAAAATGATTTGATAAGTAACTGAATTTAAGAGTTTCTAGAGAATGATTGATTTCAAAGTGATATTCATTATAAACTGATATCAGATGGATAAACATTGTTCCACTTATCTTGACTGATAAGAGTTAAATATATTTATATCTCACAGTTATTCAACAAGAATAAAAAGACTGAATGATGGAATATCTCTTCTGAGGTGGTTGGAAGCAATCAACATGAAGCTTGGTAGCACTTATCAGCACCTATGTGGGAAGTTATATGTCTTCTGAGTGAATCAACTTGACTTTACACTAATATATATGCTTGTTTTACTAATTTTATAACATAGTACTTTACAGCATTATCATAAGACTTTGTCATTTGTATGCAACAGGCTTAGAATTCTCAAACTCAAGGAAGCAGAACAAGAATTTCAACTGTAATTCATATATAGCAATTAAAAACAGTACAACAATTGAAGAAGAACATTATGCGCTTATATTTTTATTTATGTTAGGTGATAATTGAAGGTGACATAAAAAGTTTGATCACTCCATGAATCAAACTAGTGACCACCTAGTTCCCAGCCTGATATTCCATTGAATCGGCTACAAGATCAGACTGCAAATCCAATTTTTATTTCACTTCAATCATCAACTGATTTCAGGTGCTTACAGTATGAAAAAATATTCAAGTGTATATATTACAATAAAAAAAGCATATAACCTTATCAAGTAAACAGGAAACTGTTATACTAAATCGTAATTAGTACTGATTCTGAATAATGCACACCAGTCGTAGAAGAATAAACCGTAAGGATTTTAAGAAGGTTAAATGTTTATAGCATGATCAAGGGAATATTCTAGAAGGAGGTGAAAAAGGCATAGGAATAACAAATAACTAGATATGGAAAGCTAACATCACCTATTACATAATTGGAAGAAATTCAGTTCGGTTCATAATACCTGTAAGAACAATGTTAACTACTTCCAGGTAATAAACGTTGGTGCATTATTATTATTATTATTATTTTTCCCTTGGGTTCCTAGTGGAATAGATAGGACTTTAGTAGCACGTCTCCATTGCATTCTCTTCTCTGCACTCCTTTCAACATGGCGCCACCACTGTCCACTAGCTTCCATTTCTTACTCAAACGATCTCCCCCATGTCACCTTCACCTCACACACCCAACTCATCGTTTCCCCTTTGCATTACACTCCACCACCTGGCCTGATACGTGATATCCACAGTCGGCCTTCTCAGTGTATGCACAATCCGATCCATTTCCACTTCCACACTCTTCTGCATATTTGTTGAGTGATAGGTTCCTGGTTGGTTGGTTCGTTGACAGCCAGCCAGCCAGCCAGCCAGCCAGCCAGCCAGCCAGCCAGCCAGCCAGCCAGCCAGCCAGCCAGCCAGCCAGCCAGCCAGCCAGCCAGCCAGCCAGCCAGCCAGCCAGCCAGCCAGCCAGCCAGCCAGCCAGCCAGCCAGCCAGCCAGCCAGCCAGCCAGCCAGCCAGCCAGCCAGCCAGCCAGCCAGCCAGCCAGCCAGCCAGCCAGCCAGCCAGCCAGCCAGCCAGCCAGCCAGCCAGCCAGCCAGCCAGCCAGCCAGCCAGCCAGCCAGCCAGCCAGCCAGCCAGCCAGCCAGCCAGCCAGCCAGCCAGCCAGCCAGCCAGCCAGCCAGCCAGCCAGCCAGCCAGAGTTCCTTCTTGCTTATTCTTACTATTCTGGCCATCTGATCAGTATGTTCAGTATGGAGTGAGTGTAGGTGACAGCTGTTGATGAATGTCTGTAGTTTGTTGGAAATGCTTTTCATGACACACCAAGTTTCTGAAACATACAGAAGCACTGACCTGACTGGATTGGTGTTGAAAATCTGAATCTTGTTCTTTGTGCTGAGTGCAGTAAATCTACACACCGATTTCAGATTGGTGAAAGCCCGTCTTTCTGTCTTTCCAATCCTGGCTGATTTTGACATCCTCGTCTGTGACTGTGCCACCTGTAGTTGAAACATGCTGCTTGCCTAGTTAGGTAGGTGCAAAAGATTACTTCCTTTAGATTTCTCCCTTTGGTGATGGTGATTGGTACTTGTTGTTGATGCTGTTGTTGGTTGGGTATCTCCATCACCTCTATTTTCTCTACATTCACTTGGAGTCCCGTCTTCGCTGCGTAGCTTCTATCAACTTGCTGGTTTTCGCCTGTAGATCTTCGAGTTTGTGCCACATAACAGTAGACATAAATCATCATCACCGGCGAAATGCAAATGTTCTTTTGGGGTCTTTTCATCGGTCCAGCCAGAGTATGGCCCTCTTCTTGCTCCTAATAGTTTGCTGCATGATCCAGTCGACTACAATCAGGAAGATCATGGGTGATAGTAAACAGCCTTGTCTTACTCCTGTATTCACTTCAAAGGCGTCACTGAGCTTTCTATTGTGGATCACTTGGTGCACAAATAAAATAAAAGAAATCAAATGCTTAAACCCAAGGTAATCACAAAGATTTTGGGACCAAAATTTGACCTCATCGAGTTTAAAAAGTTGAGTTTTGGGTAAATGGATTATACGATTTCAAACAACTACAGTTCCTCATAACACTGATAAAAAGCAACAATTTGAATGAAGAATATTTTTTCAATATGTAAGTATTTCCTTCACGTTATACAATTACAAAATGTATTTGCATTGAGTAAAAACAAGCTACGTGATTGGCAGTTACGTTTTCAAAGTGATGTGAGGGGATTGTAACGAAGTCGACTTATCTATTTTAAACTAGTCAATATTGGAATGATACATAAGCAGATGAACAATATGATGGCGAACAAAAAGATAAAGAATGAGATTGCCGGAGTAGCCTTTAGTTTGTTGAAGGTTAAGAGAGAAGTAACATTTGGAATTGTTTTTTTCTGAATGCAAAGTTCAGGTTTGATCAATCTTATTGTAACAGCCTCTTCTATGTTGAGCAGGTGTTGGTGAACTGCATGTGGTGTCGTTTTTGGAACACAATGAATGACACTGAAAGTTTTATTAGCATCTATGTGATGTCTTGTGTCGACTAGATGAGCTAGGACTAAACTTTTTACCACTTTCACTTCACCCTTTCCAAACTAACCTGTTAAATACTGTCATATCCGAAGACTCACCTGCATAATTGTACTCCCTATGTAACTTGTTCCGCAGGAACATTAGGCTATCCTTTGGCTTCCCTGTGAGCATTCGCAGATTACTGAATGATATGCAAAGCCGACCTGCATAAAACGTCATATTGATTGCTCTAACTAGGCGTTGTACAATCTCAATAAGGTGGAAAAATAAATGTTTGAATTTTTGACAACTTCATGAAACCACCTGTACAAGTTATCGCATGTTTAAATAGGAAATAGCACCCAATCAGCTGACGTTGTTCATACATGATGATAATAATTTTGGAATATGTATCCATCATTAATCAGTTATTAGTCTGTGAGTTCAAGGTGAAGATGTGAATGTGTGTCTAGGTATAAGAAAGATTTAGAAATAGAAATCTAGTTTCCTTGTCTGTATGTGCTTTTGTTTTGATTACTATATGTGATGTGTTCTTCTGGGTATAGTGACCAACTTGGTTACATAGTTAGGTCCTCCTCTCTGCTGGCTACATTCGGACTAGATATATTGTAAAATACCTGAGCTATCCACCTTTCCATGTAGTTTTAAAACCTTTTCGACTTATTTTAACTTTTATAATATCAGTTTTGACCAAAGGAAAAGACAAGAGGTGGTTGCAGCGAAGAAAAATTTCTCTTTTCGACAAGGTCATTTACTAAGCTGTACATTCGTGAATATATGTTACAGTAGTCAGAGCGTTCCAGATTTATTTCCGGTTAGAACGCAAAATATATTAAATAACTAAACGAAGTTGATTAATAAACATTTGCGTTTAGAGTGGGAAAATAGACAAGGGATTATGAAAATAAGATTATAATTACCCAATGCAGGTTAGATCTATGACAGAGTAAGAAAATGAACAAAGGATTGTTGAAATACATGTACAGCTACCTAATACAGGATGGACTGATGACGGTCAAAGCTTTATGATGGCCATGGCAAAGATAAAAGTTAGACGTATCTTTTTTGAACACATAACGCTGGTTTAAACTTCTGGATGACTAGTGCTTCAACCATAGACAAACGCCTAGATCTTACTCCCTTCGAGTGGTTTGATCGAACCCTACAGAGAATTTTGTATGAGCTGTCAAAAGGAGCTAAGTGGTCTGAGTTCACTAGGTGTTCTGTTGTTGAACTGAAGATACATTTCCGTTATCCCTCTCCCAGCCAGACTCGGTAGTCGTCGTGGGCATGTTTTCCAAGTGGACGTATGGTATAGGTGATGTACTGAGCTCCATAAGACCACGTAAACTGGCAAGTAAACATTAATGTGGCCCAATGCGTCCGCTTATCTTTCATACATTGACTAAAACGTTTCTTGCAGAAGAAAAGGTTAGCAGTGAAATATGTTCTGTTTAAGGACTTTGACCGTCGTTTCCTGAGGATGTCTGCAGCAATGTCATTGTTGAATTCAAGATGCAACAAAAGAATCTTTTTCGGCGTCAAATGGGTTTGTTCAGTTGGATTCTTTGGCTTGATATTCTTATCTATGAATTTGAGCGGGAAACCGTTCTCAGCTAGAGTTCGTCGAAGTATTTGTGGTTCTCAGTCAACAGTGTCCTCAGGTTTTTGACTGTGATAGATGCTGTGAACAGTGACTGTCTGTTGTGACCACGTGGGGTTGCGGGTGTGGGTATAATGATACTGAGACTCAATAGACACCTCAGCCGAATAGTTTTACGAACTGACCTCCCTCAGTACCTTCTGCTTCCCTGAGCCGCGAAAACTCAGAAGGCAAAGACGGCCTGTGACTGCAAGAACAATGGCAACTCTTTATTAGACAAAATACATGACATCTATGCATTTACAAAACTCTCAGAAAGTGAAACCATAAATGAACCAATCCCACTTCTTGTATGAGGTTGAATTTCTCCAACCAGGTTCTTATGTCAGCGCATCATAAATCATGATCTGAACATGATCTGATCACGACTTGAAAACAACTCCCCTATTGGCTGCCTTCTGTCGCTACGTATCACTGTCGGTTCGATTTATATATTCTCCTGTTTTACAGGATTCTTTTGCAACTATTTTGTGTAACTCGCATGTTTTTTTTATCACGAATGAGCATCTCAGCAGATGATTCACTAATATAGTAAGTATCACAATCAACACAGCCTTATCTGTAGATACAATTCTGTGTGGAAGTGAACTACAGCATTTCTGTGAGTGTTGATTGTCTTGTAGGGGCTGTAATTCGGTGTTTTCTTAAGACTTTTTGAATGATATTCTCAGAGTAGTTATTAGAGTGTGCATAATCTATTATCTTTCTTACTTCCCTTTGTCTATTATCTTAAGTCCTGAATAAGTTTCGAGCAAGTAAAAGTTTAACAGTGAATGGATGGGTTGGGTTGAAATCTCGATATCAATCTGAATGTGTTGGTTTACAACAAATCAATTAACTTAGACCTTTATTCCCATCTCTTTTTAACTAAACATTCTAAAAAATGATATTTCATCATTTGTATGTTCATATTCACATGCTGTAAATGAGTATTCATTATTTTAAAAAAAGATTCTGAGGAGTTGATCTTTTTAAAGTCACATATATATGATCTATATTTCAGAGCCGAATACGTGGTTTGATAGCGTTGGAAATGATCATTGATTCAATATGAGATATGAAAAGGTTTACAATAATACGGAACACCACAGAACCCATTTCTATTCGACTTGTTTGCTGATGTAATTTTCTTCTAAATGTAGAAAGTATCGAATTTTAGCTAGATTTGAATGATTTCATTTTGAGGCTGAGGTTTAAAAAAAGATCTTTCTGCCAATATGTGGCATCTAAAATTGAAGGTGTATAAGCCAAGGCTTGCAACTTATATCAGTTTAAAATGAATCGATGAAGAACTTGGTTAGCAAAGAAAATTGTTGTTGAAATTGAACTTTAAACGTAATAGCTGAATGTCCGACTACAGACTGACATTATATACAATAAAGGTATGCATTTTTAGACGTAGTATTCATCATGGACTGACATCAGTTAGGGAACCATTGGAAGTCTGGGAGCACTGGACAGCTGTTTCGTCCTAGTATGGGACTCCTCAGCAGTACGCACACACGACCCGGCAAGGGATCAAACCCGGGACCTTCAGGTTTCATGGCGAACGCGTTCCCAGTCCCCAGTAGTTCACAGTTTCCAACTTCTGTCAATTCACAACATAGCGCGACTGTCACCCAAGGTCTTCAGTTAGCATCCACTTCACTTCCGACTGGTTGACCCCACAGGTCACGGCTTCTCATTAGAACTTCCTGACATCCATCTGGATGTAAGTCACTAATGAGCCCTATAGAGTAATGTATTTTTGAGGTGGATGGGAATTTTAATTTAGACGTAGTATTCACCATGGACTGACATCAGTTGGGGAACCACTGAAAATCTGGGAAGCACTGGACAGCTGTTTCGTCCTAGTATGTTTAAGTGTTGAGTATTACTACAATGCATGCTTTAAATTTTGCTAAAAAGACATTCTTTATCTATCTAACTGCCTCCATTCATGAACATAGTTTTGTTGTATTCCTAATCAATAAAAGATAGTCTATGTATCGTACTATTTAAACCATAAGTAGCAAATTTATCACGGTTCTTCCACGTTTTTAGCTAACATCTATCTATAAAGGCTTATTTAAAACATATTTTAACGTTTCAAACGATATCCCATCAAGTCTATATTTGAGTCAAATAAGGATAACACTTTGTTACAATACTTGAGAGTCATATTCAACCCTCTTTTCTTTCTACAGACAAATTGGTAAAGGTGATCCTTCAATCTTTATATCAATACTATCAAAACGTAGTAAAAACCATATACGAGCAATATATAAATCATACTATAAGGTATGTGAATTGATGTTATATTCCATAACTCTGAACACTGATGTTTAACTTAATATATTTCTGACATTTTTTTCAATCACTATGATGCGATAAACAATGAATCATATAATCCGAAATATGTATGTATGTATTGTTATCGTATGCTCAAACTCAGTCACTGTACTAATCCTACCCCACAGAATAATATTCCATTCTATTTCATCATTGTAATAAATATCTTCTCACCAAAACAGCATAACTTTGTTGATTTAACCAGGCGAGATTACAAATTATAATCGTTATAGGGTTTTAATAATAGGTAGCTTCTCAGCAATGCTCATATTTTGTAGAATCATCATGTGAACAATGTTTAAAGGAAGAACAAGTCTATTTTTGATGATTTCAAAGCTGTACAATCGCAAATTTATACATTTTTCAAGTTGTTATTCATTGTAGACTGACATCAGTTGGAGGAACAAAGGAAACCCGGGAGCACTGGACAGCTGTTGCGTCCTAGTATTGGACTCCTCAGCAGTGCGTACCCACGACCCCATACCAGCAGGGATCGAACCCGCGACCGTCAGGTTCCGCGACCAGTGTGTTACCATTGAGCCACTGGGTCAGAATCCAATGCTCCATCTTTCCAACTTCTGTTCTCAGTTTAAAGATTTGATAGTTAAAAACGGTTTGTCAATCAATGATTTGCAGGAAAATAAAAATAAAAAACCAAGAAAAAAACTGATGAGTAGTGAGTATTAATCGAAATAACTTTGAACTAGAAGTTTGGAAACTGAATTGTGATCAAGCTGAACATAACAACAAGAATAATTAGCGAATTTCTTAATAAGTGAATAGTGTCAAAACAGAAACATGAAAACAAAAGTGAGGAGGAGTAGAGAAGACTGAAAACTAAGACCATGAAAGGCGGAGTTGAACAATCTTCTTTTGTGTACATATTTCAGGTTTCTCCATTTTGGATGACAAGAGCTTAGGCGATGCAGAGAATACGAAAGACATACAGCCTTTGGAAGGTTTCTTTTTATTTTATGGACGAATTTAAACGAGGAGGTTTTTGAGGCAGGGTGGTTTGTGTTCACCACGTGCTCAGTTATAGCACTCCTTATCGCTCCATTGTTACCTCTTTGTAATCACGCGGGATAGTGTTCCTTAACCCTTTTGGATAGCAGTCGCTTTGAATGACCTATATACCTGACTGCTCAAGAGCAGGGGAATTGATAAATGCATATAGAAGTGGTCAGATGTGAAATTTTCTCCTTTGAGTAGTTAGAAATCGTTGGACAACAAGAGAATGCTAGTCTTGACGTTGATGCATAGAACATTCTCCTTAGAGCGTCTGATATCCTCCTTTTTAGAGTGTCAGCGGCAGAATCACCTCTGAAGTTGAGATTCATATAGGGTATCTTTTTTGGTACGGTGGTAAGGTTATCTTTGAGAGGTTACGTTTTGACGTGTTTGTCTATGAAGCGTGGAGAGAATCCGCTTTTAATCAGGATATACTTTAGAACAGAAATTTCTGTTTTATTTTAATGACAATTTATTTATTGAAAATATTTGTGTCGCCATGCTTGACAGAACGTTTTCAACTATCAAATCCTTAGACCAGAAAAAAAGTATAAGTCTGTGATTGTACAGCTTTGAAAATGAATTCGCCGAAGACAGACTGATTGATGAAATACTTGTTCTTCCATCAAATCATTATGGGTAAATTTCAAAAATTTTTTAAGTAAACCTAAGAATACTAAGCCAAAAAGATATGTCCATAGATAAGGTTGTGAACCCTCATTGACTGAGGAGGTTTGGCCAGGTAATCAGCATGCCGATAGATAGTGAATGGCAATGGAACCCAGTAGGTGATTACTGTCTTGTCAACGACCCACCAGCCACCTTTCACCAAGCGACATTGCGCACTCCAAGACTCCAACACCCAACCACTTGTCTCAGACACCACATCGTCACCCACTACGACACTCTGTCACACTACCAACAAGTTCTGGATGCTTATCAGATTAAATCATAAGTATCTGATATCCTCATGGAACATGATACTCTGTTTGTTGAAAATAAACAATTTTATTGTTCCTTCATCTCACTGAATAACCAACAATTTCATTCTGTTCACTTTTTCAGAAATATGGTATTCTGCTAGTCGATTCGATATCAAGAAAGTTTACAAATCCACTGCGTACCGCCTTCAATACAATCAGTGAGTAGACATATTTGAATATTTTCTCTGAAATCTGTGAATATCAACAAGTTTGCAACTATTTCCTTGAATTTCAGTCAGCAAGAATGACAATGTATTCAGGAAGAGTGTAGACTGTATGATGAATAAGATCCTGCTTTTCACACAGATTGGAAACAATAACTAACACTCTTCGATTTGATTCCATCATTTCCGTTCAAAACACTGCACTGAAAGTTCGTCTCGTCTGAAATCAAGTAATCTTTTAGTTTCAAAGTAGGCAATTGTGAACAATTCCAAGAATCTATGAATTCGAGCATGGCAACTGACCTTCAACTTGTACGATGAAAAGCGGATATTTAGAAAAACAATACGCATTTATCAAGGGTAATTATTCAACAAGAATGATAACACACCTGAACACACACACACATCTGCACAATCATCACGCCAAATACGCTCCGTTTATAAAGTGTATTGCTCACCGTTCAATGACTGGCTAACATGAGTTACAGCTTCGAAGACAAAAGTGAAATCCCGCTCATATCATGCTCTCATAACTCAAAATACAGTAAATAGATTAGAAGCAAAATCAAACACTACGTCTAATAGTCTCCAATATTGGTCATGATCCATTGCTTACTGGTAAATTTGAAAAAGTTGATGGAAAATTGAAAATTGATTAACGTGGAAGTAATTTATCTGATTCAATATATTATCGAAAGCTCCACAAAACTGATAAATTACAGTAACAGTCAATCAGTCAGTCAGTCAGTCAGCCAGCCAGTCAGTCAATATCAACAAGAACCTTGCACTGCTGTGTAACGACGGTTCAGCCTTCATAGCAAATATCTCAGTCACACATATTCCGAAGGCATATAGTACACACGGTTGACTAACAACCAACTTCGTTCATAAGATCCACCGACTCGAACATGGATGAAACAGAGGAGATTGAAGTGGATTTGTGGATTGATTCGTATGCGAAGAAGAGTCAGTTAAGTCAAAAACGTGGATGTATACATACTATACATGACATATGACCTCATCACAAAGTTGAAACAATAACATATTGAAAGGAAGTGTGAATCAATTAGCCGATTACCTTGAAAATGAGGGGAAAATATGAAGTATTTGTGATGCCGTGAATCATTATATTATTATTATTAGTCCCTTGGGTTCCTTGTGGAACATAGGGCTTCACTAGCACGTCTCCCCTACACTCTCTTCTCTGAAATCTTTTCAACCTGGCTCCACGACAGCCCACAAGCACTCACGTCTTCCTTGCACCATCTCCTCGGTCTCATCGTCGCCTCTGTCATCCAACTCGTCGCTTCCCATGGGGGTTCCACTCGAGTGTCTGGCCTGTTGAGTGATGTCCACAGTCGGCCTTCTCAATGCATGCCCAATCAATCTCCACTTCCACTTCCTTCCAGTGCATATTTGTTGAGCGTTAGCTTCTTGGTTGGTTAGTTGTCAGCCAGCCAGAATTCCTTGCTGCTTATTATTTCTGGCCATCTGATCTCATCTTCAGTAACCAGACAGTGTAGGCAGTTGTTGATGAATGTCTGTAATTTGTTAGAAATCCCTTTCGTAAGGCGCCATGTCTCTGAGCCATCACATAGAAGCACTGATTTGACTGTATTGGTGTTGAAAATCCTGATGTTGTTCACTCTGTATGCTGAGAGCCGAAGATCTCGACACTGGTTTCAGGTTAATGAAAGCCTGTTTTGCTGTCTTTCCGATCCTGGCTGGCTTTGACGTCCTCTTCTGTGTCTGTGCTGCCTGTATTTGAAACAGTGCTACCTAGATAGGTGAAGGAGTTTATTTCCTTTAAGTTTCTCTCGTTCATGGTGATTGGAGTTTGTTGTTGTTGGTTGGGTATCTTCATCACCTCTACCTCTGTCTTCTCTATATTCACTTGAAGTCCCATCTTCGCTTCCACAAGTAGTCTCCCTCTTCTGTCAACTTGTTAGTTTTCACCTGTAGATCTTCACGTTTGTGTGGCATCAGACACAAGTCATTGGTGAAATCCATATCTTCTCGGTTCTTTTCCGCAGTCCAGCGTATCCCCCTAACAATGTTTTATGCAGTTAGGGGTCTCCCAACATTCAGACACTTCAGTAGATAAAGATTCACAACCACCTAACTAGCTTATCTGTCTCCTATGCTCCTTTAATAACAGATTTAAGAGAGACTTTCGACGCTGAAATAAATTATTTTGTCGAATACAAAGAGGCTTCTGGTGTCGCTTAACTTTTACTTCTTTACTTCGCAGGTTTATAGTAGGATACGATAAAGTTCTATAACCACAGACTCCTTACCTAGTAAGTAATCGGATATTTCGTTACTGCAGTGAGTGGTGTGAGTTAGCAAGGGTTAGCTGAAACTTTGTGTTCATTCGGAGAATGCATAGACTAGTTAGCCACCTGAGCTGAATAAGTTTTCAACCATTCTTTGGTCGATGAAAGGGTATTGAGCAGCCTAATCAATTTTTCCTACCTATTTCTAAAGTAGCATCGTAGAAAAATCGATCAGTGATTCATCATTCTATGCTGCAGTTAACTGTGTTGAAAAATATAATCCAGTAAACAACACTATTTCAATGAATGATATGTCTGATGTTTCCTGAACTGAAATCATGTTCTACTACAGTACTCAAGTGTAACTTATACAATCTCACTTACTGTCATTTGTTTATTGAATAATGTCCCAACAGCCAACCTTGGTCGCTTATTTTTACTTTCTTCTCCATTTTTCTAGACTGCACTTCCAAAACCTAAGCTGACTTTTATGTAAACTGTTGCTTAAGCCCTTCAATGTGCTCCCAATCTGTGGCGATATTTTCGCATATATCCATTCATTTTGTGGAATCTCCCTACAACTACACAGCCTTTTCTTCCTTTGTAAGGTTTTCAGTTAAAATCCTTATCATGGTCAACACAATAAACCTAAAGTGGTATCAGTTTTCTTGAAGGGAAGTAAGATTGTTACACCCTGACAAATTCAAATTAGAAACATTGTTGATATCCTCATTCATAACCCGAACTCAGGTTTTTCGCGATAGCATTTCCTTTTTTGTCTTTTCATATACATACACATTCTCGAACTTACCTCGAGCTGCTGTTCATCGGCGCATTCCAGAAGAACTGGTAGCGTCCACTGAGCTATTTCAGCTACAACCAGTAGCGGTATGATCTAACTGTATCCACCACTAGCTAATTGCTCAATGAATGGCCATCAAGGTATTTTAGTCGTCACAAGGTGATTATGCTTAGAAGGTCAGCATGAAGTCATCAAAAACTATTCATCTGATAACATCTTTTCAAATCAAAGATCAGATCTTAACTGATGAATTGTGACAACTTCTGCTTTGTTCAGTTAGAAAATCACCTTTCCCTTCCAAATGTTTTACTTGACTTTATACATAACTTCAAAGCAAGATTCTAGTAAGGCAGAGTTAAACAGATTCTCAAGAATGTAGCTGTAGACCACTTTACACCATCTATTAGACAACCATTCAGGTCAGTTTCTGGAGATGGGTTTGGATAGCACAGACTCTGACGGTCTACGTAAGCAGTTTCACAACAGCACGCCAGATGACAGACATTTATAGAGGTGGCCTGAAGAGGTGAAAGAGACTGTTTTCACTGAACTGCTCTTTTTTTAATTTCTCGTGATGTAATAGGACTGTTTGGTGACGTGTTTATTGAGTTTACAGTCACACGGGGAAATGGCCTGTATTTGTCATCCTTAAGAGATAATAGGCTTATACACTCTGCGATGATAGGGAATATTTGATGCTCAGACGGATAGTTTTCATGGCGTTGTGTTCTCTGAGCTGGAGGGTTTAGTCGTGAAGCTTTCATTCATGTTCTAGGCAAAATCACCAGTGCAGATTTCAGAGGTTTGTGCTAACGGTGAAACTATCCAACTCGAAGAGCATAACATCATCGAAGGCATACACATTCCTTGTAAAACATGAATATATTTTTCAAAAATCTTATCAGAGGTTAGCAAGAAGTAAGTGAAACGGAATAAAACTTGAAATCAAATAATAAAAATGAAAAAGTCGTCATTGTAAAGAACCAATCACTCAACAAATATGCAGAAGGAAGTTGAGATGGATTGGGCATGCACTGAGAAAGCCGACTGGGGACATTGTTCATCAGGCCAGACACTCGAGTGGAAGCCAAATGGAAAACGATGAGTTGGTTGTCTGAGGTGAGAGCGACATGGAGGTGATTGTGTGAGGTAGAAATGAAAGGTAATGGGTAGTCATGGGATCAGGTTAAAAGAGGACTAGAGGAAAGAGAGTGAAGTGGTGATGTGGCAGTAAAGCCCTATGTTCCACTAGGAACCCAAGGGACAAATAGTAAAAATAAACATCCTGACGTCAGAATCCGTGTAGGTAGTGTAAGTTCCAGCATACCATGATATCTTCTCACCTTACTTCTTCGATGAACAGATGAGATTCTGCACACAGAAATCACTAGTTAAAACGGATGGTCACCAAGAAAAAAAGTCAAAGGTCCATTCATTAGAATAACAGATAGAGTGGAATACACTTTAATTTCAACAGCTTTCGTTTCATCACTCATCAGAAAAACTTTGTAATAAGAGTACTGTAATACTGGTTATACTGGGCATAAATACTGCGATTTTGCCAAACCATGGCTATATCAAAAATAGACAAAATGATGATCAATATGTTGCTCCCCTCTAATTCAGTTAGATTTCGGTTAGGATGAAAAATCCTGACTAGACAGTCGGTATGATTATGATCAAGAGGTAGTAACACGTCACGAATTCACACGGTAGTCAGGAAATGAAAATCTGGTCAGCAGTCGGACCTCGTAGCTAAGTTGGTAGAACATCGAACCGGAAATTCAGTGGTCACTGGTTCGAATCCGACCATGATCTAAATTCTCATTTCACCATAAGTCATCACCCTGTATAAGAATATTTCACAGTACTAAATGGCAGGTTTCAGTAAACATTGGCAGAAAAATGTTGGTATTGAAAAGGTCCTGCAGAACCACAGTTACCTACAGTAATCTCTTGTTCAGTCTAGACAACCCAATAGCAAAAGTTAAAAGAAAATGAACTACACAGGAATCTTACTTTTGACTTAACACAATCTCAAAGGTGATGATGTTGTGATGAGAAAAAAAATAATTTTCATATAGACATGACTGAAGTTGTTAGCTCATCTTTGATATAGCTTACTTAAACTTTTCCATAACTGAAGATTACTATTTCTATTTTCTGCTGTTATCTCCCTCAAGTTATGGCACTGATTGATCTACGTTTACTGCTGATCTGCCAACTTTACTGCAGTATAGAAGGTTTAGGATTGAATGAAGATTCAGTTATCCGAATCATTTGTCTTCGATGTGAGGTCAGTTTTTATGATATTATTAAGCATTTAATGGTAAAACTTTTGATTTTGTACTCTATCATGTAGTATAGCAAATTATTTTACATAAAACGCTTATTTGTTTATTGGTATCTGTTAGATGACAATTGGGTTTTACTATGCAATTTTAATCAACAGAGTAAGTGCCAACATCTTTAGAAAAAGTGTTTTCATGCCAATTTCAAAACTATCTCCTATAGATGGGCTGTCATGTACGTCGCTATCTGACTATTTTAGCCATGAATGGTCTATCTATACGCAGCGAAAGATTAGTACATGGTTGTAATGTATTATCTGAGCTGGATTGTTTAATCGTGGAGCTTTCATCGTCTTTCTTGACGACAGACGACAGAAAGATGAGAAGTCAAGCAGAGGAACATTCAACAGGAAAATCTATACAGTCAATGACACAACAATCAAAAGAAACAGCCAGTCATAAACTTGTTGGTCAGAGCAAGCAACTGAATCACTCTTGGACAGATAGTGATACCTGAATACATGTTGAAGTTAGTGGTGATGATGTCGACTAGAAAGACTATAAAAGCTCCATGATTAAATCATCCAGTTCAGGGAACACAATACAACCAAGACCATCCACCTGAGTTACAAATATTCTCCACCATTTCGAAAGTTTAGTACCTTATTTAATACTTCCATCTTCATTCATTCCCTCACTCACCCACTCTCCTTCCCTTTCTCTGATAAATCAGTGTTACCTTAAGTATACAGTGACTGAAAATCAAATCATCTGTCACTCTCAAAATATTTCTCAGCCAGAAGAATTTAATTATCACACATGACATACGAAACTTATATATACAGTCACCATTAGTAAAACAATCATTATGTAAAACATATTTGGAACTGTCTTCAGCCATATTCTCCAATCGCAAGGATCCAAGTAATAGAAAACTCTTAATCTCCTCAAGGTTATGCGTGGGCTATACTACTCAAAAATAACAGGCGTAGTGATATATGCTTATCTTTGCCTTCAATTTAACAGTAAGAAATGCAACATGCTTAACAAAATTTCGATAGAAAGCAAAAATTAGAAAACGATGATTTAAAACTTCATTTTTGTTCAGTAATTACAGCTTGAATAGGCTTTAAATGTATGATTGTTCTAAGACTGAATGTTTTTATGCGAAAAAAAACACTTTTTATCAGCCAGAATAAGATATGATTGAAATTAGTGTCTAATGACTTCTACTTCGGGATTTTTGTGACAATCAACTTGTTGGAATTGTTGACATAAACAATTGAATTTGATACTTTACCAGTGTTATTCCATAGTGAGAAAATACAACTAACTGCCCTCTGTTATTCAAAATTGTTGGATGTCAAGAGCCTATATGATTTCTTTACAAGCATAAAAACTCAGTGAATCTTGACATATTACTAACAATCTGAATTGCATTCATCCATCACTCATCAGGAAACCTAAAACTGAATGAAAAAAAAGCTAAAGAAAACGAGCTATATTCAAACTATACAAGAATGAAAAGTGAGAAACTGATGAAACAGTATAACAATAGCAGTGGTAATAAACAATCAGTCAATTACAATTCTAATATGACGTAATTAAATGTATATGAAATAAGCGATGAACTGGTTGGATGCATTGCTTACTTTACTTACTTTGAAAGTCAGATCAACACTAACTGTCTGAAGAAATACCCGCAAACATACAAGAGACTCGATTGGGTTTAGTCAACTCAACTTATGATACCAATAAGATTTCCCACTGCCTATCAAGAGTTAAGTGTACCATGTTGCTACATAACTTTAAGATATGACTATTTAAAGTAGAAAATAGTTCACTATGTGGTAGAATAAATAAAACAATCTAACATGAAATAACCAACTAAAGTAAAGAGAATGTGGAGTCTTCAGACATCCAATAACGGTTGCCTTCATAGGATCGGCAATGTTATGAAAACATCATGTCAGTAACAGAGAATTCATTAGTAAGAGATAAGTCATTTGATGGATTCATCAACTTTTATCAATTCATATGCATAGAATAATATATGCTCCAAATGCATACTCACCGTCTAAGTTGACGTGTAATCTTTTACAATAGAAATTTATGATAGACACTGGGATACAGAATACTTATAACATACATTTTAGTTATTATAAAATTTAAATTGGATTCGAAACAAAACATACTACTTTTTAACTCAAATCTTATCATCATCCAACTCCATATACATGAATAGCATGAAAGAATTTTTCTCACGTAACCAAAACCTTTTTCATTTACAACAGATTTTTCGTTAAAATCTATGTCAAACTTCAAGTATAGTACGTCATTGTATTATTATTACTATTATTATTATTATCATTACTATTCACAAAAATAACTACAGTTTTAAAACCAAATGTGATTTTATTTGCTATACACACTTTTCTTGTCAAAAAAATCGAACCATGTGATTATGAGACTGTCTTCAAATTCAATCACTTATCTATCATGAATTTTTGGCATCTACTTAACTATTTCTCAATAGAATCATGTAATGACTATTAACTTTATACAATGAAATGTTAAATTTGCAAAGATATTTATATGTAAGACAATTAGAAACTGAGAATAAACGTTGATTTCAGTTTTCAGAGAAAGAAATAGGGAGCAATTGAGAACTAGACATTGATAGAAGTGTCAACGATATATGAAAACTGAAAGTGGGGGAAAGACAAATACAACATAAAGGAATTGAATAATAAGAAAGATAATGAGAGCGAAAAAAAGATAAGATTTGAAGACAATCTTGGTAATACGATAAAATAAGCATTACCGAGGTAGGCTTAATGTAAGGACAAACTGTTTTTGCATACACACAATGGGGGGTTTAATTTATTTATGACTAGCGTCTCAATAAACTTAAGTATACTCTCAAACGATATAGTAATTTGGTTCGTTGGGGCTAGCAGAGGAATCCAGGACTCATGTTCCGTCTTATTTAGGACTCGTCAGCTGGATGTACCTGCAGGTACCCAGGTGCAGATACTCATTTTAACTGTTATATATATAAGATCGAGAAGGAAGTATCAAATAGGTGGATTGGAAAATCTGTGTCATAATGAAAACTAAACAGATATGAGTAATAAAATATTTTGAACAATATGACTATGCGGTAAAAAGGGAAAGGAGTGAATATTTAACTGTGGGCTAAAGCCTTCTCTTTGACTCCTATCAGAAAGCTTCATTTCAAGAAATAACTAACTTACAAAGACATCATGGATCACTTTCATACTTATGATTACTCTTCTTTGGGGCTTTTTCATAATATTCCTATTTCAACTGAAACATTTCCTCAAGTTCGACAGTAGCTACGTACGAATGGTATGTGTTCAAGCTTTTTTAATCAGTAATTATTCGAATATTTTCTGGCTGATATGCTTAACTTGGTTCTCTAAATTCAACATCTATGTGAGTCATGCACTGATCTTGGCTAGCATAAAAGATTCTACTAAGATGCAGTTGATAGGGCTTTGGGCTGGAAACCCAGTGGCCGCTGGCTCGAATCCGGCTAACATCCAATTCTTTACTTCACTTTCAATCATCATCCAGTAGAAATACTAGTCCGCCGATGCTTTTATGTTAAATCCATATGTTAGTACGGACACGTTTAGCTGATGAGTCAAAGATAGGACGAAACATATGTACTGGATACCATTGCTAGACATCAACAAGAATATATCATGAAAATGTAACGTAAGGCAATACTGAGAGATACGTTCAATGAGCTCAAAACAGACCCTTTTTACTGAACTTATCAGATGGTCCATAAAAACAGTAGTCAAATATTTTGCTATTACTTGGACAATGATTCTATAAAAAACTTTCTGAATAGCTTGCACACTGGGCCTCCAGTGTCTAGAACTAGGTTTTCCAGATCAAAATATACATCATACAAAAGCGAAACAGTAATCAATATCTAATTTCAAAGATCTCTCTTAACGTGCGATCCAGATGACCTTGAAAATTAGAAAGTTAAAACAAATAGTTTTGTCATTCATTTAAAAGTCATAATCTTTCTAGCCTATTCTGACCTCTTCCTACATTATGTTTTCTTACTTTGCACTATTCAGATTGACTTACAAGATATTAAAGAATTGTATGAAAAATACTTTTACAAACCATTAGCAAAATCTATTGGATCTGAAACACAAGCCGGATTTAAAAAGTTACTTTTAATCCTGTTAAATGATGGATAAAACAAGAGGAAGATGAAAATGAAGAGAAGAGAAGTACAGGGAAAATGAAACGAACGATGTTGTTTCTTTAATTTGTTTATTGTTTATAAAAGAGAATATATTGAGTTAGTTGGTCATACTCCACAGATACTTGTTTTCATTAAACAAAGGGGTTAAGTTTAAGTTCTACTTCAGCTTTGACCTCTAACCAAAAGCATAGAACATTATTATTATCATTTTTATTTGTCCGTAGGCTCCTAGTGGAACATAGGGCTTCACTACCACATCATCACTTCACTATCTTTTCTCCAGTCCTCTTTTTAACCTAGTCCTATGACTACCCATTACCTTTCATTTCTTCCTCACACAATCATCTCCATGTCACTCTCACCTCAGACAACCAACTCATCGTTTCCCATTTGGCTTCCACTCGACGGTCTGGTGTGGCCTGGTCTGACGTGTGATGTCCACAAACCGTCTTCTCAGTGAATGCCTAATCCATCTCCACTTTCTTTTCCTGTATATTTGTTGGTTGATGGGTTCTCGGATGTTTGTTTTTTTGCCAGCCAGCCAGCCAGCCAGCCAGCCAGCCAGCTAGAGTTCCTTGTTGCTTATTCTTATTATTCTGGTCATCTGATGGACCTTCAGTTCCAAGTGGGCGTAGGAGGTAGTTATTGATGTTACGTATGTCTACAGTTTGTTGGAAATGCTTTTCGTGATGCGCCAAGTCTCCCAGCCATCACATAGAAACACTGAATTGGTGTTGAAAATCCTGATATTGTTCACACTTTATGCTGAGTACAGTGTAGTGTGATAGATCTCCACACTGATAACTTCTGAATAATGAAGGTCTTTCTAGCTTTTTTGACCTTGGCTTTGACATCCTCATCTGTGCCGTGACCTGTAAGTGAAACGTATTTGGTGTTCAGTTCACTAGTGAACTGCATTAAATGACTTACATTGTTTACTGTCAACTTATTGTACCCAATTCTTTTTAAATTTAACGCGTATTTCGAAAAGTTTGACCAAACAAAATGGTGTGAGCCTAGAAGTTATCCCCAATTATTATAATGTTTGTTATTGTATATATCGTTCTGTTTATAAATTCGCTTATTTTCTATATGCTATGCGCATATTTCACCTGTTTGCATATTTTTTATAACGCCCTCTAACAATGAATCATATTTCATGCCGTTTATGTATCTGCAATGTATTTGTTACACGTTCACCTCCTAGTTGTGATGTGAATATATTTATCAATGGAAAATGGTGCTCACAAATCAGAGTAAGTTAATTGAGTCTTCAAACTACAGTAAAAAGGATTTATGATTTATGAGTTCGATTCATTCTACAATGTTTGTCGTTCTCACTATGTAAAAATTAGTCATCATTTCTTACTTTAGTATAGTTGAACTCAAAAACTGTAAAAATTACTAACCTTTTTCTTCTGTCTCTCATTTTACTAAAAGAAATACGATTCAAACGAACGACCAACAGAATGTATATTAGCGTTTACATCGAAATGATTTGGTGAAGAGACTCTTTTCAACGAATTTATTTTCAAGCTATACAATTGTATATATATGATATATGAAAAATTATATCCCTTGAGGAAAACTAAACACTACATGATGATGACAATAATGATAACACTGAGGATAACACAGGTATTTACGATTATGATAACAACTGAAGTATGAATGATAACAAAATAGGTTGAGTAAAATATGGAATGGTTCATAGAAGGTATATAACTCAGGAGGGGGTGAAAAAAGAAATAGATGAGAGTGGTAAATCAATTAGGTATTATATAATCTGCTCTGTTCAGTGGGGAGCGAGAAGAGGGGGATACGCATGACTGCGGAAAAGAACCTAGGAGATATGGATTTCACCAATGACTTGTGTCTGATGTCACACAAACTTGAAGATCTACAGGTGAAAACTAACAAGTTGACAGAAGAGAGAGGCTACGTGTGGAAGCGAAGACGGGACTTCAAGTGAATATAGAGAAGACAGAGGTAGAGGTGATGAAGATACCCAACCAACAACAACAAACTCCAATCACCATGAATGGGAGAAACTTAAAGGAAATAAACTCCTTCACTTATCTAGGTAGCACTGTTTCAAATACAGGCAGCACAGACACAGAAGAGGACGTCAAAGCCAGCCAGGATCGGAAAGACAGCAAAACAGGCTCTCATTAACCTGAAACCAGTGTCGAGATCTTCGGCTCTCAGCATACAGAGTGAACAACATCAGGATTTTCAACACCAATACAGTCAAATCAGTGCTTCTATGTGATGGCTCAGAGACTTGAGGCCTTACGAAAGGGATTTCTAACAAATTACAGACATTCATCAACAACTGCCTACACTGTCTGGTTACTGAAGATGAGATCAGATGGCCAGAAATAATAAGCAGCAAGGAATTCTGGCTGGCTGACAACTAACCAACCAAGAAGCTAACGCTCAACAAATATGCACTGGAAGGAAGTGGAAGTGGAGATTGATTGGGCATGCATTGAGAAGGCCAACTGGGGACATCACTCAACAGGCCAGACACTAGAGTGGAACCCCCATGGGAAGCGAAGAGTTGGACGATAGAGGCGACGATGAGACCGAGGAGAAGGTGCAAGGAAGACGTGAGTGCTTGTGGGCTGTCGTGGAGCCAGGTTGAAAAGATTTCAGAGAAGAGAGTGTAGGGGAGACGTGCTAGTGAAGCCCTATGTTCCACAAGGAACCCAAGGGACTAATAATAATAATATAATGATTCACGGCATCACAAATACTTCATATTTTCCCCTCATTTTCAAGGTAATCAGCTAATTGATTCACACTTCCTTTCAATATGTTATTGTTTCAACTTTCTGATGAGGTCATATGCCATGTATAGTATGTATACATCCACGTTTTCGACTTAACTGACTCTTCTTCGCATACGAATCAATCCACAAATCCACTTCAATCTCCTCTGTTTCATCCATGTTCGAGTCGGTGGATCTTATGAACGAAGTTGGTTGTTAGTCAACCGTGTGTACTATATGCCTTCGGAATATGTGTGACTGAGATATTTGCTATGAAGGCTGAACCGTCGTTACACAGCAGTGCAAGGTTCTTGTTGGTATTGACTGACTGGCTGGCTGACTGACTGACTGACTGATTGACTGTTACTGTAATTTATCAGTTTTGTGGAGCTTTCGATAATATATTGAATCAGATAAATTACTTCCACGTTAATCAATTTTCAATTTTCCATCAACTTTTTCAAATTTACCAGTAAGCAATGGATTATGACCAATATTGGAGACTATTAGACGTAGTGTTTGATTTTGCTTCTAATCTATTTACTGTATTTTGAGTTATGAGAGCATGATATGAGCGGGATTTCACTTCTGTCGTCGAAGCTGTAACTCATGTTAGCCAGTCATCTAACGGTGAGCAATGCACTTTATAAATGGAGCGTATTTAGCGTGATGATTGTGCAGATGTGTGTGTGTGTTCAGGTGGGATCATTCTTGTTAAATAATGACCCTTGATAAATGCGTATTGTTTTTCTAAATATCCGCTTTTTATCGTACAAGTTGAAGGTCAGTTGCCATGCTCGAATTCATAGATTCTTGGAATTGTTCACAATTGCCTACTTTGAAACTAAAAGATTACTTGATTTCAGACGAGACGAACTTTCAGTGCAGTGTTTTGAACGGAAATGATGGAATCGAATCGAAGAGTGTTAGTTATTGTTTCCAATCTGTGTGAAACGCAGGATCTTATTTATCATACAGTCACCACTCTTCCTGAATACATTGTCATTCCTGCCAATCAAAATCTAAGGAAATATTTGCAAACTTGTTGATATTCACAGATTTCAGAGAAAATATTCAAATATGTCTACTCACTGATTGTATTGAAGGCGGTACGCAGTGGATTTGTAAACTTTCTTGATATCGAATCGACTAGCAGAATACCATATTTCTGAAAAAGTGAACAGAATGAAATTGTTGGTTGTTCAGTGAGATGAAGGAACAATAAAATTGTTTATTTTCAACAAACAGAGTGTCATGTTCCATGAGGATATCAGATACTTATGATTTAATCTGATAAGCATCCAGAACTTGTCGGTAGTGTGACAGAGTGTCGTAGTGGGTGACGATGTGGTGTCAGAGACAAGTGGTTGGGTGTTGGAGTCTTGGAGTGCGCAATGTCGCTTGGTGAGAGGCGGCTGATGAGTCACTGAATAGACGAAATGAGCATACTGAATTCCTTTGCAAGTTTCTATCTATCATCAATAAGTTGATCACCGTTCTGAAATGGTGTAATGCCAGTAGACTGATGGCTTTGACGAGATTGGCGACCTGAGGCTTCTTTTATCTTTCTTGTCTTAGCTCTTTGGATCTGATAACTGTCTCTTTTTTCGAAGCTCTGCACTGTTATTAACGGTTTTAATTTACTGGTATTTACTCTGTAAGTTATCCATCTTCAACCAAGTCAATCAATTTCATCCGAACGACGATGTTATTAATTTATGTCGTTGGTAGTATTCATCACGTGCTGACATCGGTTAGAGAACTTTGTTAAATCTGGGAACACTTAAAGCTGTTTCGTCGTATATCGGACTCTTCAGGAGTACCCACCGACCACTCCACCAGGGATCAAACTTTGGGTCTTCAAATCTCGCAGTGAACGCGTTAACCATTGAACTACTGATTTGAAGTTCAGTGATTCACTAAATTGTAACTATAGTTATTATGACTAATTTTTTTATCCATAATCCGCATAATGTTTTAGCTTGGATTATTAACTAACTCCTAGTTTGATGACTATCTGTCCTATTAAGAATGACGTAATTTGACTCCAATGTACACTGTTATCTGAACGAAAGGTTAACTCTGTATTGTGACACCTTAATCGATATCGAAGTTTGAGTCGTCCGCATATGTCTGTTTCCCTGTACCACAGATATTCAAGTACATACAGTAACCAGGTGATGAGTTCCGTTGAAAATTATCAATCCATTAAATCTTAATGTTCTCATATTCATTGCTTATTTTGTACTTGTAACATGAAATGAATATTCCATTTAATTTCTAAACACTGATTTTAATCAAATCAATATATTACACAACA